TCATATATTATACTACCTCTTCTATTTTAAGGGAGTTTCCCAGCACCATGAGCAAGCAGACCAAAAAGCACTTATTTCATGACTGAACTGCCTGAATCTCTCTTTAAAATGTCATTCTTCATGAGAAAAGGAGCATAAAAACTTTGACATCTTTCAGTTGTTGTTTTGTTTTTTGGGTTTTTTTTGCTCACTTGAACTGTCTTTGGGTTCATGAAGTACTGCAGTGTACCTAAATACATTGTAACCTGTGAAGTACAAAATGCAAGCCTAGCAATGCTGCTCAGCCTTCTCATTTTTTTCAAAAACCTTCCTTTCTCTTGAGTATTACATTTCTAATGACAAAGTCGCTGTCAGAGCTATTAAGAAAGCCAGTTAAATATCCGTTAAGCAATTGCTTTAAATCACTTCTTCCTACAACTGTACTACGTATGCAGAAGTTTCAGTTGGTTTCATACCACCATAAATAGTGCTCAGCAGTAGTTCTGTTCTTGTCTAGCAAACTAATGAGCACGGTCATCTGGGAGCATTCAGTGTGTCACCACTGATAATTTGTGAGGCTCTTCCATAGCAGATACTACCCTTTCATTTGAAGCCCTGGTGCATGCTGAATGCTGAGCACCAGTTGCTGGTGATAGCAAGGCCTTTCATGGGCTTACTAATTCATGGGAGACACTGCCTCCTTTCTCTTCATAATTAAAAACTCACTGTGTTTTGTATGGTGGTACATGATGGCACTGTGTGCATAAGTTCATTAATGCACTTTATTTCTTCAGCCCTTGTTTTCCTTCCAGAGCCAAAGAATGTAACCTGGCCAGGTTAGTAGCTACTGTGCCGAATACAAAGACATCTGCTGTTCTATTTTGCAGAAATACTGTATGACTGTTTTAAATGTCAAATTATTAAACAAGATGAGTAGTCTTACTTTGTTTTCTGATTGTTTTTACTCTTCTAGGGGAGGAAGTTTTGGGAATCATTCAAGCATATAATGCATAATATTTTACTAGACTACATGTAAATTAAGTCAGGAAAGACTTATTTTATGAGTCCCATAAGAAGATTAGAAATGGCTGGGCTGCAAGATTCAACTCTCTCAGGTCTAAAGTGACTGCAGGCATCCCAGATATAAGAAACACAGATGTTAAAATGGGACTTTGCTGGAAGAGTAAAATGGTGTCACTGGTGTTTTGATGTTGGACTTGCACGCTTAAATGCAGTGAATTGATGAAGCATCCTTTTATCATCGTAGATTACAATTATTTTTAAGATTTGTACCTTTGCCCTCCTTCACTGTCCTGGGGGCACTGCTTGCTTGCTTCCACACCTTGTTGAGTTCATGATTCCACCATAGGCTCTTCAGTGTTACAATTGCCTTTCACTACAAATATGTACTAAGCACTTGGAGAACTTGGCTGGCAGCACTTAGCACTCTCATAACCTAAATGTTCCCTCTGTAAGAGATCTCCTTAAAATAGACACTGTAATGTAAGTTAAATTCCACCTCAGTTTGAATACTGTAAGTCATTTTGTGTCTACTAACTTTCAGTGTAGAAGCACTTTTTTTTTCATTCTTACCTATTGTGAAAACTGCCTGTGTGTGCAATCTTATACTACAATTGGTATCCTGGGACTCCAAGGAGTGGGAATCGTATTTCTTGCTCTATGACAGGCAGAGCTTCAACAGTAATTAAAATTAATGTTTTCATTATGGGTAGGCCATTTACGGAAATCTGATCTCATCCAGGCATTTGCAAGATAATACAAGCCAGTTATAACATCCTAGAGGTTGTGTGATTTTTTTGAAACAATCTCTACAGTTATCTGAGCTCCTCTAAAAACAAAAGGTTGTTTTAAAGTCCATACCAATTAAGATTTCACCACAGTGATGCAAAGCAGAAGCTGATTTTCAACTTTGTTTTGTAGTAAAAGTGGTACTAGGAAATGCTTTGTAATATAAATGTTTTTTCACCTCCAGTACAAGTGCTTGTGAAAACAAAATGTCACTGCATAAGAAAGTCTCTTTTCTTAACTTTTTAAATATAGACTGCTTGAATTAGTATCGTGAGCAGTTAAGCAGCCTCTGGGATTGCATTGGTAGTACGGTAATGCAGTGGTGGCCTCTGTGTGAAGGACCCAGCAGCTGCCCCGTGTCACATAGGAGCCAATTCCAAAACAAGCCAGCTGCTGCCCTGAGCTGGGCTAGTGAGTGATGCTGGTTGTGCCTCATTGATAACATATTTATAGAGAGGGCAAAAAATGTTGCAACTGTGAAAGGGAGAAATGAGAAGATGTGAGGAAACAGCCCTACAGCCCCCAAGGTCAGCACAGAAGGTAGAAGGTGCTCCAGGAGTGGAGCAGAAGCTCCTAGCAGCCCAGGAGAGGCCCATGGAGAAGTAGGTTGTCCCTCTGCAGTCCACAGGCGCTGTGTAGAGATCTCCCCATGCAGACATGAAGTGCTGTGCAGCAGTGGATGTGTCCTGGAGGGCATACAGCCCAAGGAGAGCCCCACAGCCTGAGCCTGAGCTGCAGCTTGTGGAACGGAGCCTGTGGTGGGGAAAGGCTGAGGGAGCTCTGCCCTTGTGTGTTGGAGCAATGCATGGAAAGTTGCAGCCTGTGGGAAACCCACACAGGATTGGTTCAAGAAGGACAGCATCTTATGGGAAGGACCCCACTTTAAGCAGAGGATGACCATGAAGGAGCTGTAGAGATAAAGCATTATGGACTGACTGCAGCCTTGTTCCCCTGAACTGCGTGGGGGGAGTTGAGTCTGGGAAGAAGAGCAGGGGGGAAAGGAGGGAAGGTAGTTTGCATTTTGCTTGTTTTTTTTCAGTATCCTACTCTGTTACTAATTTGCAGTCAATTAAATTACTTGACAGTAATTGGTGAGCAAACTCCCTGTCTTTATCATGGCTGTGAGTTTTTCATCACTATTCTCTCCATCGTAATGAGGAGGGGGAATGAGAGCAGCGTGGTAGGCACCTGGGTGCCAGCCAAGGTTAACCCACCACAGGGATATACTGTCTGGAGAATCAGTGTCTGTAGTGCCTCTGAGTGATTAAGGGTTGTTTGTTTGTTTAATCCCATCTTTCATCCAGTAATCTCAGAAAAAACTGCTGTCATCCTGTTCCATTGAAATGGGAAAACATGAGTTAAGTGCCTGGAACATTGCCGAGACTGTAAATGAGCTCTGCAGCAGTGCTGACAGCAATCATAGCTGAGGGCAGTCTTGTGCATGGTCAGAAACTGTCTTCCAGATCTTAGAAACAATTTGTAAGGGAGGATGGGAACAAGTTAAGTAAGCCAAGAATATGCAGAGTCTGGCAGATAACTTTGTATGTTTCTGTGATTTTGAAAACTGTGAAGAAAGTTGGCTTAGAAACTGTTTATCTCTAAAGCTAAGTGCTAAATATGTTAAAAAAAATAAAAAATAAAAAAAAAATGATAGGACACAAACGTTGTACTACGCAAGAGTAGCATGTCCTTTTCATTTCTCATTACCTCTAGTGTTTGTCCAAATCTGTCAGCATCTACTTACAAAGAACTGAGTGTGAATCAGGGCTAGATATCATATATAAACTATATAAAGCTGCTGTTACATAATGTTGTTCTTGGAACACTTCTGGTTGTATAATCATCTTTCCTAAGAATAGGAACAAGGCCCTGGCCAGTATTTTCTTTTTATTATAAAAATGCAATCAAATAAATTGTGGATAAGGTGTGATAACCTGTAGCGAAATGCAATTCTTCTGCTGAAAAAAGTAAAGAATAATAAATTAAAATATATATACATATATATAAAGATACCATGTATTTCAGTGGGTAGAAGCTTTTCACACTGACTGTCAAAATGTGAAGGAGGTTATTTATGTTCTACAGAAAAATGATGCACTCATCTGTGGGCAGGCACTTTGTCTGTACATGTAAGAGCAAACAGATAATGCTCAGAGCTTCTTTTGTATTTAGTGTTCAAATTGCCCTAAAATTATTAAATGCTTGTTTCCTAGTAATAGATTTTTCTCCTATGGTGCAAAATAACAGCAAGGAGGAGAACTCTCTCAGAGATTAAGTATTATTGAAGAAGGTTCAGGGGCTTCAGCTTGCTTAAGAAGTACTAGAGTTATCTGTGGTTCCTTTGTTCTTTTTGAAGACTTTGAGATGGTTGTAGAGATCATGATCTACAGAGGTGATGTGACTTGCAAATGAGAGGTGATCCAGCTTGCTCCTTCAAACTGTTACAGTAATTTTCTATTGTTCCAACTTACTGTGGAAAGGGCAACACAGTGAAGAAAGAAAGAAAGAGGACAGTAGATCAGACTCTATCAGTCTTCCATAGTGCTGGAGGGATTGGAAAGGGAGATGAGGGAGAGAGTAAGGTGAAAGGAAGGACATTGCCAGATGGTGAAAACATCATGCAACACTACCTTCATTCCTAATCCCTTGTGAACTGGAGTCTGAGAATTACTTTTTACTGTGCATTATCAAGTGACTACAGTATACTTACTGGAAATATCCTAAGGCTTGGAAGTCCTTTCTGTGCCAAGTGGCAATTAATGGCTTGTTTCACATAATACATGCGTCTGTGTCATCTGATAATAATTTGTATTTCATACTTTTTTTCCTCCGTTGTTTGTCACACTAATGATAATAAATGAATGGTCTGATTATAAATCATGGAAAGCTTGTGGGTGAAGTATAAATAGATTTTGGCTATCAACTGGTTTGCAAGGCTGAGATTGATCACAGATTCCTTGGCCAGATGTGTGAGGCTGATAAGTAGTCCGTTGGGCTACGCCTCTGGTGCCAACTGTTGCAACTTTTCAGGAGGAAGCAACTGAGTTCCTTGATATTGCCAACCCCTTTATTCTAGTAGCGTGGTGCTGAAAAGCTTCTGATATCTACTCTAAAAACGAAGAGAGGTAGCTGAAAATGCATGAATGGGGAAGAGAAGCAATAACAAATGAAATTTAAATTTTCTTTCTTTCTTTCCTATCTTTTGATTCAAGGTCTTGCTCTGTATAACATATACCTCCACATTTGAGCTGAATGGGAGCTCAGTGTTGAAGATTGCTGAGGTAAGTTGTACCACTGTTGGAGCCACTTAATGTTTCCCCTCCAGCTAGACTGTGTCTTCTGTGTGTATCCTGCCTGAATCTGAAGTAGTCCAAATCACAGCTGCCATCTTAAGGGCTCATACTACTTTGTCTAGTATGAAAATACAACTACAAGTTGTACAGAACTGGTGGGCTTGCATGAGAAGGTGTACTTTTTGAAATTGACTGATGATAGTGGACTTGCAATGCTATAGCATACAATTCCTCATGTTTATTTTGTTTTGCATTTTACAATAGGGAAACATCCTTGTGTTCTTAATAATACATTATTGTGCTAATTCTGGTGCAACCCTAATACTACTGAGTTTCAATAAAGGGTGATGTGTGGACTACAACATGCCTCACCAGCAGAAGTGCCACAATATGCCTTCTAGTTTTCCTAATACTTCCAAGTAAAGGTTTTATTATGCCTCTGGATACGTGGTGTTATCTAGGTGCTACTAGGTGTGTCTCCCCTTTTTTCCAATCAGATTTTAGTCTGAAAGTCTTAAGTTGTAGAGGAGCTTTGGCTGTAGAAAACCATACATGTGCAGTTCTACAAAGCGAGCATTTCTGTATGAATTGTGTAGCAAACCACTGGACTGTAGACTCAAGTTAGAGAAGAGACACAGAAATACTTCATTCTCCTGCACAGCACACATGGTTATGTACAGAATGTTTTCTGAAATTATATTGTTAATGTAGGGGAGAGCTAAATGAAGCCCATGAAATGCCCATGAAGCAATATAAGGATGACGTACATGTCCTTGCAGTTTTTACATACCATCCATTTCCTCCCAATGTATATGATAACTGTTCTTTTTGAAAATAAAGACTTATTAGTTCTTAATATTGCCATATTTCAGACCCGACCACAGCAAGAGGGTTCTTTAAATGTTCCTTGCTAGACTCCCAGTAAAATTCGTGCATGTAAAGCCTCAGAGATGAATTCTATCTCAGTTTTTACCATTTGTGAGGGGAGTTTTTTTTTGTTTAAACAGATGTTCTGCCCAACTCATCCCTTGTTTTCTTTTTGCTATGTGAGGTTTCCTTTTCCATGAAGTGTGGCTGTTTTTGGAAGTCTTTGTAAGCCCACCTGTCAAGGTTGCAGCAAGATCAAGCTGAACTGGTATTTAGAGCCATTCAAACTGTTTTAAGTTTTACTAAACCCTTCCTAAGTTAACATCCCAAACAGAAGAAAACAGATTGTTTCCTTGCTGCAGTTTTTTGCAGCAAACTTTCCAACATGTAGGGCATAAGATGATTAATTCAGTTTAGTCCATCTCTGCTGCAAGCAAAGAAATCTGACTTAGACAAAATACATGCTGGGAAAAGCATTTAATGGCTCTAAACCCTTCTGATTTCAGCATAAGACTAGAGGAAAATGGTCAATCAATCATGATCTGTGTGCTATGAACTGTATCAGAAATAATATTTTCTGTTTTCTCTGTAAATCTGGATAACAATAGACCTGCTGTTCATTTAAAACATCCTGAAAATATTTTTTCATTTACTGAAATTGAACCCTGCTGTTGTGGATACTTGCAGTTCACTTCCCAAAAGTCCATCCCAGCTTTTAAAATTCCTTGCTAGTATAGTGGTATGAGTTACCACAATGATAGTTTTCTTTTTCTTTTAAAATGGGTCAGATCCATGATAAGTGCTGTTAAGAACTGCCATCAAAACAAACAAAGCTTTTAAATCCCCTATGGAATTAGAATGAACCATGATAGAGAACACAAACGTTTTTATTTGGTATGTTTGGAGGTACAGGTATTTTCTCCACAATCCCTGAGAAAATATTGTTTCACTGAATGCTTACCTCTTTCTATTTAGCAAATCCCTTCAAGCAATACATGCTTCCTCAGGTTCTGTTCAGCCAGGTTTTAGGTAAGGCAAAGACTTTATCAATTGGACTCAGTGTTCCTTTCTATCTGAATTCTGCAGTGTATAGGCGGTAGGAAACAGATAATGATTTCTGAGTTCAGCATTTGCTTAGCCCCAGCATTTATTGTTCTGACTTGCTCTAATATAAAGATGGCAGAGAGGAGCTATGCAATTCACTACCCCTGCTATTTGGCATTTCTTTTCAGGTCCCTTACTTTTCCTAGCCTGCCCTCTGTAGCAAAGCAGGAGCTACTGCAGGATTGGAAAGATGCTGCCTGTGTTACTGGTGGACCTCAATCTGGGGATTCACAAACAAACAGGGCTACCACCTGGTTGTTTTGCACTGTCTAGTCATTCTCAATATGTACAAATCAATAGCGCCATGAATCTTACTGAATATTTTCAGCCTGAAATGAGTGAAGCATCCAACAAGAAGAGTACTACATTATATGGTTTAAGTATTACTAGTAATGAAAACAGATTAAATCTTGCTATGTGAAACTTCTCATGCTTGCCTGGACCACTACAAGAAAGTGTAGCTTATGTTCTAACCGTTGTTTGTCATGTGTGTATTTGTTACTTCCATCTACATTTTGAAAGTTTGTTTGATTCTGTTGTTTCATTAGCTAACCCTTCTGTGTTTTGCTCTTAGTTGTGTTTTGCATGCAATAGAGCTGGAAGTCCCCGAATGCATGAAATGATCAAAATGTCCATTGCATACCTCCTTGGGGCCCTGAGCTCTCGAATTTTTACTGGCAATCCTTCATCAGTGGCTTTTCAAAAGGTACCTTGTCCAGCCATTTTAGAATGCACACCTCCCATAAGATCAGAGCTCACGTGGACAGTGCTGTCACTCTTTCACAGACATGGGGAGGGGGGAAGAAAAAGATGATATCAACCATGCTCTTACCAGAAAGTCAGCCTATCTCTGAGAATGGCATTCTATCAATTAATTCAGGAACTCTAGAGAGATCGAGAACAATTGTTCCTCCGTGTCCAGCAGCTCAGCAGCATTTGGAATGGTATGGCCTCTCTGACTCTTTATGGTAAATAGGCTTTAGGATTCTTTGTTCTCTGGAGGGTGGTAACTGAATGATGGGAATAGTTGATCCTTTCTTTTAACTTACAAAAACACCTTCACATGCCAATTGCTCTCAAGGTCAATAAAATCCTTTGTTTTGGGAGGGGATTGGAATCTTGAGAAAGAGCAGTAAGAACTGAGAGACTGCCATTTGTAATGTCCTATCCCCTGGATCCCAGCTGTATTATGCTTTGGTAGCTATTTGTGTAACATCTTGAGGCAAGAGTCCAACAGAATTTTGGTCACAATGCAGTGTCAAAAAACTGCAAACAGCTGAGCATGGAGCTGGGAACTAGATGATGCACTGATGTTCTTTCATTGTAGGCTTCTCACTGGGGTTCTCCCAGCTAAGGAAACTTTAGGCTGATTGCCAGTATTTAAAAGGCAAATATTTATGTAATTTATGGTGTATCACAATAGTATCTTCTGTAGTAAGAAAAACCATTTAGAGGCTTTCAGATGTAGATGTATGTGCCATATTGAATAATAACTGCATATGTGTATACATATATGCTTCAGTATAATAGAATCGTAGGATGGTATCTGTTGGAAGTTACCTTATATATCATCTAGTTGCAACCCTCTTGATCAGGCTGCTCAGGGCCCCATCCAAGCTGGCTTGAACACCTCTAGGGATGGAGCATCCACAGCTTCTCTGCCAGCCTGTTCCAGTGCTTCACAACCATTCTGAGTAAAGAATGTCCTCCTAATATCTAATATCCCTCTCTTAGTTTAAAACCACTCCCCCTAGTCTTATCTCTGTAAGACTGTGAGAAAAGTCAGTTTCTCTCTGTTTATAAGCTCCAGTTAAGTACTGGGAGGTTTCCCCAGGACCTTCTCTTCTCCAGGTTGAACAAGACTATCTGTCTCAACCTTTCTTTATAAGAGAGGTGCTCCAGACCTCTGATCATCTTTGTGGCCCTTCTCTTGACCAACACTAATGGCTCTGTATCTTTCTTGTGCTGGGGGCCTCAGACCTGGACACAATACTCCAGGTAGGGCCTCATGAGGGCAGAGCAGATGGGGACAATCACCTCCCTGTCCCTGCTTTCCATTCCTCTTCTGATGAAGGCCAGCATAGTTGGCCTTCTGGGCTGCAAACGTGCGCGGCTGGCCCTCATCAAGTTTTTCTTTTATCAGGATCCCCAAGTCCTCCTCAGCAAGGCTAAACCAGGTTCTTCTCTCAGTCTTTACTCGGGACAGGGATTGCTCTGGATGAGGTGCAGCTCATTGTACTTAGCCTTGTTGAACCTTGTTAGGTTCACGTGGGCACACTTTTCAAGCCTGTTGAAATCCCTTTAGATGGCATCCATTCCTTCTGTCGTATAGACTGCACCACTCAGCTTGGTGTCATATGCAAACTTCTTGAGGGTACACTCAATGTCCGTGTCACTGATTAGGATGTTGAAGAACACTGGTCTGAAGATGAACACCTGGGGGGACACCATTAATGGCCAGGCTCCATTTAAGCACAGAGCTAAGGACTGCAATCCTCCAGCTGTGACTGTCCAGCCAATTCTTTATCCCCTGAATAGTCTACCCTTTGCATCCATGTTTCTCCAATTTAGAGATAAGGGTGTCTTTTGGGACCGTATCAGAGACCTTACAGTAGTCCAGGTGGGTAACATCAGTTGATCTTCTCTTGTAAACTGATATAGTCACTGAGTCATAGAAGGCTACCACGCTCATGAGGCACTATTTGCCCTTACGCTAATTACAGAAAAAAGATGGGCGAATACTTATTACTAAAACAACAACTTTAAAGGATTGGAGTGTATTTATGTCATACAAAATACAGACTTGCCAAGTGATAGTTGTGAATAAGTCTCTAGAAAAGATCAATCAAACTAACATTTGAAGATATATTTTTGTTAAAGCGCAAAGCAAGTGCCAAACTCAGTTGGGCTTGACAGAAGGGGAAGATTTTTGCCTTACCATTCCTGCAGCTGTGAGACTTATTAACTAATGAGCTGCATTTTACTTGGTGCTGTTTACTCAGTTACCCATATTGCTGAAAGCTTTTCATGTGCTAATAAAGCAATATGGAATAACAAGGCAGGCTGACTATCTGCATGCAAGAGACCTTGGTATCCTCTTGAAGTGTGTTACTGGTAAGTTACAGTTAATATCTACGTATTGCTATCTTGTTTCTCATCAGGTTTGCATTGAGACATATGTATCTAGCTGTCACCAGCGGAGCATTAACACCGCTGTGCGGGCAACCCTCAGCCAAATGTTGAGTGACTTGACTTTACAGTTACGACAAAAGCAAGAAAATATGGTGAGCCTTCTGGCATCAACAAATGGTTCCATTCCGTAGCTGCATACCTTTTAGTTTCTCTGAATGCAGTTCACTGTACTGGTTTATTGTGCCTTATGGATTTTATTTCAACCTTCCACAACTAATCCCATTTGGAAGCTTTGTTGGGCTCTGACTTTGTGCCTGTCTTAGAGCAGTCTATCAGGAAGGCAACTCTCACATTGGCGGTTCTATTTGGCCGTATTTTGTTCTCATTCTGTTAAACAGAAGAGGGCTTGTTCTGATGTCAGACTACTTTGACCTTTTCCTTTTCTATCTTTTACTTTGTTTGCTTGTTTACCTGAGATTTGTGGAAATCCTTTCACCAAAATATCCTGCGTTACAGATATTTACATCAACCGAACAAATTCTCAGCTGTTGAAAGTGTAATTGAGTTTTTTATTGCTACTCTTTTTAATGAAGGTAATTTAATGGAATCTTTTGTCTGCTCAGTTGTTAGCAAAAATATTACTTCTGTTTATTGCATTATTAAAACCCATGGGAGCTGCTTAAGTGAAATCCCAACACATTGTCCGCAAAACTGTAAATGTTCTGGGCATATCTGAAATGTCATTGGCTTCTTAGATCTGTTTATGCATATTTGTATATAAAGAAGCAGGTACTAATTGTAAAGGTCAGATTATTTTCCCTGTACCTGTTTTGGGTTAAGGTGACCACTTCTGTTTTGGAATGCTGGACTAGATTATTTTTATCCTAATAAGTACCTGCAGAACTGAATTCATAGATTTACTAAAAGTTATTTTCTCTGTGTGCTAAGTATGTTCATTTTACTAGCCATAATACTTGGGGAGGGGGGAGGAACAAGGAAGATTGTTGTTTTAGAAGTTGAGTTTGGATTTGAAATTTGAATTTTGTTAGTTCTGCTCTAAATGCAGCATAGGTGAAGGTATGTGAGAACTGCATTGATAGAAGGAATCCTATACCACAGCTGAGCCAAATGGTGTAAGAGGTTATTTCCAATTCCCGACTGTCATTAATTTGTGTATTGGCACTGCAATATTAATGATGATGGTGTGATAAACTCTCCCATACTCAGAGGATTTGGGTTTCTAAGTATCTTGTGAAATCTAAACTGTGCTTTTTTTCTCAGTTATTTTTATTGAGACCTACATGCCTAGTTATTACTGTGTTTTTGTAGCTGTAGGAAATCCCTTAAGAGTTTACAAATCCCAGTTCAGCTAAATGAGATATGAATTTCTTAGATCGAAGTGATTGTTTAAACATTTCGTAAGGTATTAAGCTTCACTTAAACAACAACAACAAAAAAATAAAGATAGAGGACATGGATTTGTTAAGAAAGCTCTGCTGTTAAAGCATTGCTTGTACGTTGACTTTTCTGCTACGTGCACTGATTATAGCACATCTATCTTTTCTCAACAGACAATTGAAAATAATGAGGCTCTGCAGAAATTCAAAAGTCAAGGTATCTGTACAGCTTTTTTAGTGACTCCTTCCAATCCAACTTCTTAATTCTTCACTTTCCATTCATCAGCACACGGCTGTTGAAATCACAGAAATTCCATCTTCAGGATCTTTCACCTTCTTCATAGCGTGTTACTGTTTGTGTTACTTGTGATAAGAACTGAAACAGCCCTGTTAGCTCCTGATATTGCCAAGTAGTGCCTTCATTTGAGCCATGTTAACAGCATTGCTCTCCACATAGTTATAAATGGTTGTTTCACAGTGCTAACTTCTTTAATTAAGGTGTTTCAGAGCTCTGGAGAAAGAGTCAATAAGTGGATTCCCAAATTGAAGCGGACTCATAGAGCAAGATGGTAGAATCTGGAAGTGGCTGTGTTTACTGTATTTTGGGTCAGGGATGGCATTTGTATTATGGCAGCTTTTGAAAGCACGTTACTATCGAAGTTATACTTGCCATATTATAACCTTACAAGAGAGTTTTTCTGCTCTCATTCTGGCTTATTATCCACCGTCTTCCTTGGGAGTTCAAAATATTCCCTGCTTTTGAATTTTCTCACTGGATTTCTGTAGGACAACTTGCGTGGATGGAGGCTAAAATATTGAAAGTGAACAACGATTCCCTTTTAAGATCTCTGTGGATGAGAGAGAAGCTATATGGAATGCTGCAGAGATGTTTAGCTCCCCAGAGAAGTACTGGAGCTAGTCCCTTTTTTATAGTTATTATTTGCTTATTCTATTACCTGAATTGAATTTCAGCTAACCTTTTCTAAATGCGCGTAAGCATCAGTGCTCTCTCTGGATTTAATACTGCTGCTTTGTCATTGTATGGAGATCAGTTTCCAATCTAGGACTTTTTCTTCTGCGTCCTGTCTGAATTTTGGCTGCCTTGCCTATTGTTTATATGCTTTGACCAACTCTGAAAGTCCATGCAGTGATTTGAGGTTGTAATCTCCCTGCAAATATGTAATGCCTCTGATCTTTGTCCTTTTTGGAGGTACTTCAGCTGAGTCTCTTTGTGATGATGTTGTATCTGTCCTCACCGTGCTCTGCGAGAAGCTCCAGGCTGTCATAAAGTGAGTTATTTCAGTTTATAATTTGAACTTGTTACCTGGAGATTGGGAGTTTCATTGATTATATTTGATTGTATTGTCATAGTTCTGAGATTATGGAATAAAACTGTGATTAAATTGCTTGTGATAAGAAGTATTGTTCATAATGCATTAATTCAATTCTCACTTGATATGAGAAGCTAATTTCACTGTTTAGCACTGTTTAGCTTTAAAGAGCTTCCAACAAATCTAATCTGTAGATAACTTCCATACAGTAGTGAAGAGCTTGTCAAGGGACAAGTTTTCTTTTTTTGGCTTGCTGAATGTCATGAAAGCAATAATTGTAAAGAGAACAATTACAGTGCACGTGGTGAAATGTAGTAGAACTTGTAATATCTAAGTGAACAAAATACACTGAGACAGATAGTGACAGAAAATTTAATTTCATTTAAAGTGCATACATTCTTCACAGATTTCTTTACTTACTGTCATGCATAGATTGCTCTGAAAGTAATGCCTCCGATTTATTTCCATGGAAACTGCAACAGATGCACAAAGAGCACAATAACACTGTTTGATAGAGAAAATTCTCAGCTACAAAAAAGTATTTTTCAACATGATCACTGCCATTAGCTATGCATTTTTTCTAGTGGTGGACAAGAGCATGTGTGCTGTGCTTCTAAAACTCTGCACCAGCAGAGGTGACTCTCTGTTTCGCAGCTGTTGTGATGGCATTGTTGCTAGGAAAATGTTGCCCACACAGTCCATCTTTCATCAACTTGAATGGATGGAAGCCAGAAGGTGCCAAATCTGGGCTATATGGTGGGTGTGGCAGGTCAGTGCAGCTAGGATTGGCAGTCCACAGTTTTCAAACTGATATGAGGCCTGGCATTATCATGTTACAATAGAAAGGCTGTCTTCTTTTCCAGCCTGACTCTGGAAATTCAAGCCTTTATCAGCTTGGTCAGCATCATGGTATAATGGTCAATTGATTGTTTGTCCAGGTTTTGAGAAGTACAGAAGTCTTCCAAAAGACAGTTCACATCTCCTTTATCTGCTGAAAGCTGCATCTTGCATTTTCTCTTCCATGGGGAATTTACACTGCCACTCCATGGACAGCCCTTTTGACTCTGTCTCATAGTAGTAACGTCACATCTCGTCACCAGTAATGATGTGATCCAGGAAGCTGTCACTTTCTATTTCACATTGGTTCAATAGGTCCTGACAAACTCACATATTGTGTTCCTTCTATTCCTGTTTGAGCATTTGTACGACCCACTTGGTGCAGATTTTTTGATGTTCCAATGTTGCCAATCGTTTCCAATACAATAAAGCTGATACTCAGTTCCGTACATAGTTCCCTGATCATAATCTGCGAGTTCATTTGGATGAGCTGATTAAGGTGCTCTTCATTTTGTGGTGTGGCAGCAGTGCATGGCCATCTGGAATGTGGCTTGTCTTATAACTTGCTGTTGCCACTGCTGAAATGCACCACCCACTACCTCCACTGTTATCCATAAACATTCAGCAAGCATTAGTGAATGCCACTGTGTGCCATTTTTGCCACACAGAGAAATCATAGAGTCACAGAATTGTAGGGGTTGGAAGGGACCTCCAGAGATCATCGAGTCCAACCCCCCTGCCAAAGCAGGTTCCCTACAGCAGGTCGCACAGGTAGGCATCCAGGCAGGTCTTGAACATCTCCAGAGAAGGAGACTTCACCACCTCCCTGGGCAGCCTGTTCCAGCGCTCCGTCACCTCACTGTAAAGAAGTTCTTGCGCACATTTGTGCAGAACTTCCTATGCTGCAGTTTCCAGCCGTTGCCCCTTGTCCTGTCTCCACTCACCACTGCAAAGAGTCCGTCCTCGCCTTTCTGCCCCCCACACCTTAGATATTTATAGACCTGGATCAGGTCCCCTCTCAGTCTCCTTTTCTCAAGGCTGAACAGACGCAGTTCACTCAGCCTTTCTTCACAGGAGAGATGCTCCAGGCCCTTCACCATCTTCGTGGCCCTCTGCTGGACTCTTTCTGAGAGATCCCTGTCTTTTTTATACTGGGGAGCCCAGAACTGGACACAGTACTCCAGATGAGGCCTTACCAGGGCAGAGTAGAGGGGGAGGATCACTTCCCTCGACCTGCTGGCCACACTCTTTTTAATGCATAGAAATGCAATGCCAACCTTTGCTTCTGACGCCATTTTGCCAGACTGCTACCGTCTGTCACACAGCAAAAAAAATAAAAATAAAAATAATGTAATGGAATGTTGCTGGGAAGTTTAAACCTCTGCTGCCGTGCTACCAATGGGTCACCTCTGATGTCGTGGCTAGTGTAATAAAATAGGAGGCATTACTTTCAGAGCTGCCCTCATACATCGTGAGATATATTCGTCCAGTTCTCATTTTGGACCAAAAAAGCACAGCAAAAAACATTTAGTTTACAAAATGTAAACCAGAACATGAGTGCTGTGGAAGCTACCTTCTTTTGGCAGACCTTAACTTCTCTTGTCTGCTGAATCCTGCAGATAATTCAGAGAATAGTTACAAGTACATTGTACATTAAAAACACATTGATTCCGAGTGACTACAGGATCTTTCACATTCTTCCTCTTTAAGCTCATTTTGTGTTTGATTTATAGAGTATAACTGACAAGGCTCTGAAAAGGGGCTGTGTGATCATGTAAGTTTTTGCCTGTAGACATTGACTTGCAACTGTTGTGGTTTTCATCAAGGAAACAAAAAGATAACCAGAAGAAAGTAGTCTAAATGCCCATAAGATTGCCAGAAGAAATTGTTGATAATTCCAACGTTTTCTAGTCATCCATTTTTCCTCTTTTTAAGAGTTTCTTCAACTTCAAGTTATCAGATTAAATTTGAAAAATAATTGCTATTTTCCTTCTCGTCATCTTTTGCGTCAGTTTCTTATTCCTTACTGTGAAATTTGCTGAATTAAATCTATTTTCCTTACATTACCTACAAGAAGTAGTAAAAGATTGCTGCACACGAGCTGTACAAATTAAATGGGGTGATAAAAGCAATCGTACCACTGTAAATCCATAGGAAGTATCAAAATAAATCACTGATGTAAATTGTGGTATGGTTTTCAAGCAAACTAATGTGGTTACTTGAAAATAAGTAAATAATCTTTGTTTCAGTGTGACATGACTGGCATCTTTTCTTTTTGCCAGTGACAATCGACAACTTCAACTTCTTTATTTGGAGTGCATCCTCTCCATGTTAAACAGCTCCTCTCCAACCATGCACCAGCACAAAGGATTCACTGATCTAATATGGTGAGTATATCTGAAGACTAATACAGATAGTCAATTTATAAGTAGAAGTGACCTTTCCCCAGTGTAGAAGGGCCTTTCCCCACCACCACCCATGCAAACAAGCCTGCAGGAAGTCATCAGATAAGAGCAGAGCTCTCTATTAACCCTCTGTCGGTTTGTTTTGTACTTCATACAGGATTTCACAGGACCTCATGCTCAACTTTTACCCTGTGATTTTGAAGCTGAATTGTATAATTCTGGCCCAGTTCTAAAGATGCAGTGTACAGGAGCACTCAGAGCTTCCTTTGCTGTCCCAGAAAAAAATTGTATAACCTGGTGCTCAGTGTCTGCAAGTCAGGAAGGTCTTCCAGGCTGATAACACTTGGCAGCATTGCATGCAGACTCCGTACTGAAACCTCTGGGAGCTTCAGTGTAAAATCACCATTTTCTCTTTCATGGCATTTTGAAAGTTTCTTCCTTTGTATTTCAAACAGCCCTTTGTTTATGCTCCTATGTCTGTTTTTGGGGTCATCCTGTAAGCAAGGTCACCGAAATGATCACAGTTAAAAGAAAACGCTTCCTGTTTCATTTAAGTTTATGTTAGTTTGATGATCCAGTTTACAAATCTGCAGAGATTTGTGTTTGTGCTTGTATATCATGAGGGCAAGTCATGAGGGGCAGGACCTTTTAAACCTGCTTTGCTACCAAGTAGTATGTATCCTCCGGGTACATGCTAAAGCTGAATAAAATTAACACAGGGAAGACATGAAACGGTTTATAGTTAGGTGATGTCTGCAGTTTTTAGCAGCATAAGCATTCCCTAATCCATTAACTGTCTAGTGAAGTTGTGAGCCAGACTGATAATCGCCTTTGTTCTTCGAAAGATAAAGAAGATTTAGTGCTCTGTTCGTCTGTCAGAGTGTTCTTCATAGTTTGATACAGAAACACTTTGATGGAACTAACGTGGGGAATATGTTGCTGTTGCTACTGTACTTGTGCCTTCTCTGAGGCAGTGAATTAATACATTTTGAAATGTCCCCGTTTACATTTTAAATAAATGGAATAAGCAGACCCAATATCGTTATCTGATATCTGTTTTAAAAAATGGTTTTTATACTGTGAGTTTAGGAGGCTGAACAGTTTTAGCAAAGTCTTTTAAGAGAGGCAGTGAAAATTCTGGGCAGCATGAAAAGCTTGGGAAATAAGATGTATGTACTGGTTTACTTTTGATGCTGAAGCATTACTTGTCACTGGGTGTATGTACTAGGTGTCAGCTGAGCCTCTGAGGCACATGGTTGAAAATTGGGTTTGGGATTGCTTTCTCATGTAGCATTTCAGTTTTATAAGTTATGATATTGCAAGCTAGAGTAAAATGGCAAGTGTCTGAAGGCAAGGCTGACATAACAGCTAAATGAACAGAGGGCAGAGTTGTTTTTGACTCTGATTCCACCATGTTGTTGAGGAGGACAAAGAGGAAAAGAAGGGATTGGCTGACGTGGAATCATTTGAACGTTTCTGCAAAAAGACAGTTTAAGGAAGGATGGTGTGTTTACTGGCATGTGAGAATTTACACTGCATACTTGGAGTTACTGTAGAGGACATTCTCAAAAGCCCACAGCTAGGGCTGCTTAGTGACATACATGCATGTTCAGAGCAGCAACATCAAGCCATGCAGTTAGCAGAGATTGTTTTCCATTTGGTCAGGTTTTTTTAAGTTCCCAAGTTGGACAGAAGAAACACTTGCCAGCAGAAACTTGGTGTTCCTACCTCGAGGTATGTTGTAGCTAATTAAAGAGGGAGGTATGCTATTCTATGAAGGACACAGCATGGTGCAGTAATATGAACTTGGAAAATCAGTATCATCTTTATAAAACCCCCAGAAGCATTTGTGTATGTGCTAGCTTGCTGGTGCCTGGGAGTTTAAAAGAGCCTCATGTAGTTTGTTATTCAATCTAACCACTGCTGTTCACTGATTATTAAAACAAGAGTGTGTGCTATGGGCTATTTTCATTCTGTTCCTGTGAGATTTTTCTGGTTACCATCTGCTGCTTTTTCTCTTTTTCTTAGGAAGCAACTGTGTCCAGCCCTAGTAGTAATCCTGGGAAATCCAATCCATGACAAAACTATCACCTCTGCCCACAGCAGCATCTGTCTAGAAGCTGATTCACCTTCCTCAGGGGTCTCTGATCATGGCCGAGGTTCAGGCTGTTCATCCACAGCACCTGCCCTCAGTGGGCCTGTTGCACGGACCATATACTATATTGCTGCAGAACTGGTTCGACTGGTGGGGACAGTGGAATCCATGAAGCCTGTGCTGCAGTCTCTGTATCACCGGATATTGCTTTACCCACCACCTCAGCACCGAGTAGAAGCCATCAAAATTATGAAGGAGGTAAGATGTAAAGTCCAGGTGCAAATCCATGCAAGTAAAGCAAAACGTTAATTTAACAGTAAATATTGCTGAGATGTGCATACTTGTCTGTTCCATACTTTAGCATTAGTGGTGCTGTAGTTGCCCCTTTCTGAGTACAATTTTTACATCAAAGCTACTCTGATAAATATTTTTAGTTTTACAAAATTGTAATAGATATATTTGTCTCCATAATGCTGCTATGGCAACTCCGTGTTCACGCTTGGAGTGGGTCTTATCACTGAGTCATGACTGCTCTTTTGGATGACATGCAGTGTAGTGATTCTGTTCTCAGCTCCTTTGGCATCTTTCCCCACTCTCTGCTCTTGCTAGAAGACATTCATCCTCACACTGCAGTGTTCCTGGCATTAAGGGGAATGTATGCTTTGATTATGTGCCAGATTTTTGAAATATGGTTTCCTTGAGCTTTATTAGAGTAGCCAAAAGGAAGCTGCCAGTGTCACAAGCGGCTGTCAAGGCCAGTCCTTTATGGCCTGTCACCCTGTACCTGTGGCAGTGCTTGTGAGACTTCTTCAAGCAGCACATTTACATCGGCTGCATTCTTCTCGTATTGTGGACTGCAAAGCAACATCCATAATTTGTTTGAACAATGGTTTCTTTAGAGGATTTTTGTTAGAGAGGCTGTCTGAAGATCCCTCCTAACACCACACAACCACCCACAGGGTTGCTGTCAGAACGCCCAGTCATTCTGGCACTTACCTTCCTATAATTTTAAACAATTGCAAGATGACAATCTGCATTTCATTTTTAAGATATTTTAGGAAAATATTAGTTCAATTTTTTTTACCTTCAGGATCTCTCTGTTACCTCTTTCTGCTCATTAATACACTTTCTGCCTGAATCACTTCACAGAAGTAATCGCTTTGTGTGTGTTTTTGAATGGGTGACTTTTTGTAATGGGTGACTAACAAGCAAAACTCCCTTCAGTATATAATATAATACAATATATTTGTACATTTAGGCATTTGAGATTGTCTTGGTTGCAGTTCAGTTGAAATATGTTCAGTCAGTAATGTAAAGCACTAGAGAACAACCTGTATGTGATGCATGCTGTATATGTCATTTTTCTATCTAAGCATTTCTCCTTTTAAAAAGAGGAAAGATAACTTTCATAAATAAAACTTAAGTGTGCTGTTTTAGTTTGCTGAGAGAATTTGCAGTACAGCTGCTTCAGGTTCTAGCATTTGTCCAAACTATGACTCATTTATTGTATTTAAATAACATTTAAATTACCCTCTAATAACTTATGTTTCCTTTCCTTCAGATACTTGGCAGTCCTCGGAGGCTTTGTGATTTGGCAGGGCCCTGCTCTTCTGAGTCAGAATCCAGGAAGAGGTCTATTTCTAAAAGGAAGTCCCATCTGGATCTTCTCAAGCTGTATGCTTTGTTTCCTCCTTTATTCTCTTAAACCTGTGTGCACAAGACACTTAAATAGTTGCACCTTCAGAAGCATACCCACGTATGAGCAAGTCAGGGTATCTCTCAGGTGAAATAAGCTGTGAAACAATGTGGTGGATAAAAGCTTTTACTGATTTTTACTAAGTCTGGGCTTGTTTGTAAAAGTAACCGCCTTGAGGAGTTTTCAAAAATACCCATATAAATTGTTTTACAGCTGGAAATTCTTAGGTATGGGTCCTAATATTGCAATGAAGTGATCGTGCTTATTTGGAAGTACATTTCCAAGGTGAAGTCAAAGGAGGTAATCCAGAATTGAAACATTGTCAGATTGAGCAAAAAGCATTCTTCGTTCTTATAAAGAGCATTCTTGCTGATTCAGGACGCATAATTTAATTTCAGTTGGGGGAGGGGAGCATTGCTTGTTTGTTTCATTTTTCAGTGTGAGTGCTTGTCTGTAAGGGAAAATGCACTGTGCATGCTGGAAAAAATGCCCAGTAACTATTTCCTTGGTTGGCACTCCCTTTACAGATTGGCTGTGTCCACACGGGAGATGTAATTATTTGTTGTAATTCTAGTTGTCTTTTCCAGAAGTAGTACAACAGGACAATTTCACTTCTGTTTTTCCTAGTTCTGGGAGGGTTAGTGTCAGATGATAATGACAGGCTATCTATATATACTGCATCACTTAGATAAATTCTGTTTTAATTGTAGTATCATGGATGGGATGACAGAAGCGTGCATCAAGGGTGGTATTGAAGCATGTTATGCTTCAGTGTCCTGCGTATTCGCCCTGCTTGGAGCACTGGATGAGTTAAGCCATGGCAGGGGTCTTAGTGAGGAACAGGTCCATCTGCTCCTCCGGCGCTTGGAAGAATTGAAGGATGGGACTGAGACAAGCAGGGACTCCATGGAGATCAATGATGCTGACTTCAGGTGGCAGAGGCGCATTCTTTCCTCAGAAAATCCTGCCTGGGAATCAGGAAATGAGAAAAGTCCTGATATTAGCATTAGCGTTACCACAGACACTGGTCAGACCACTTTGGAAGGAGATATGGGACAGACAACTCCAGAGGATAATCTGGAAAGTCAAAAAAACTCACTGCCGTCTCCAGCTGGACATGAAAGCAAAGAGATTCATTATAGAGAACCAGAGTCAGAAACCATTGACCAGCCAGATGTTGTTCAGAGAAGCCACAACATAGTCTATCCAGATATAACTAACTTCTTATCAGTTGATTGCAAGACCCGGTCTTATGGATCCAGGTACAGTGAAAGTAACTTCAGTGTAGATGATCAGGATCTTTCTAGGACTGAATTTGACTCATGTGATCAGTATTCCATGGCAGCAGAGAAGGATTCTGGCCGGTCAGATGTTTCGGACATAGGCTCTGACAATTGCTCCTTGGCTGATGAGGAGCAGACACCACGAGACTGTCCAGGTACCAGGTCCTTACGTACTGCTGCTCTCTCTCTAAAGTTGCTGAAAAACCAGGAAGCAGACCAGCACAGCGCACAGCTCTTCATCCAATCACTTGAAGCTCTTCTTCCTCGGCTCATAGCTCTACCCAGCATAGAGGAGGTGGATGCAGCACTGCAGAACTTCTCTTCAGCTTTTTGCTCAGGTTTGCAAGCAAATATTTACTGTCCAACCAACATGCACGCTGTAAGATTCTCTTGTAGGAGCTCATCTTCAGAAAATGTGTCCAGAATAAGAAGGTTTGTGCTCTACAAAGCACATTCCTCTTCTACAGCATATTTCCTTTAGAGTGGGACAAATTGAATATGTAGGTTAATCCACGAGCACTTAACAGACTCTGGATTATGTCCTCAGTCAATAGTAAGATCAACTTTTCCGTAGTACGATATCTCTTCAAAGGCTTGTGAAGATCTGTTGAGAAAATTTGCATGTGCTGATGTTGAGGAGAGGCTGCCCATTAGCATGAAAACTAGGGGTGTGGGGAGAACTGTCACCTGTTTTGAAAGGGATTCAAGTAGCTTAATATGTTACCTCAGTACTGTTAATAATGCCAAGCCTTGCAGAGAACATAATAGAAATCTCACTACAATAAGCTATTGAAAAGATAAGAAAAGAGGATCAACTCCTCTTTCTCGCTCTCTTTTTTTATATTGCAATTTATCATGACAGGAAATTGAGAGCTCAAGTTCAGACCAACTGAAAAATAGTTAAAAGATCTTACCTTGTAAGAGGTAGAATGCTTACTCTTCTCTCAGGGTTAGATTTGGGATTTTGACTTGGTCAATCAAACAAACAAACAAAAAAAACTATGTAAAGGCAAGTCTGTCCTGTTGATAGTATAACTAAGATATGCACATATTGTTAGAGAGTTTTCTTTTTCCGGGCAGTAGCAGAGGTGGAAATGTTCATGAAAATATATTTCTCTGTTTCTTAAATTTAACTCACCACAATTGCCTTTTCCATCACTTCTCTCCTAATCACTGCTTCATTCATTTGTGCTCTCGTACACATTACTCATACAGAGTCGGAAGGGATGCCTCTGCTGTCATACATTAGAATTTTAATATAAAGCTGGGTGAATGTGTTAACACCACACAAATAAGCTGATATTACTGATTTTCTGTTTTAATGCTGCCCAACTAAGCCTGATTCAGGAAGATAGTAATAAGGCATTCGTAACAAAGGAGTTGTCTTTAAAAGGATGTTGATTTTATTCTGAATTGAGGTGCTTTAAAGCATTCTTCCTGTCACAAAGAATTCATTTTCCTGTAAAATAATGAAATTGTAGCATAAGTCCACGATTAGAAAGCTCATATGTAGATGAGCATACAACATATTTCTCCTAACCTTTTGTCTATCAGATTCTACCCTGTAGAAGGTTCTGAAGTGTTAGAAGAGGTATACCTAGCCAAATTCCGGATTTTAAAGCTAAATATGACTTTTGTTGTCATTCAGTATGACTAATACAGTGAAAAAGATAGAAGGATAACAGTCCATTTTTGCATTAAGTTTATATTGTCTGGTTTGTACATTTCTCTTAGAAAGATAGCCGGTCTTAGACTGTTGAGTTGAGGAAGAGCCTTCACATTTCTAAGAAAGCTAGCCTCACGATGTGATGGATCTTTGTGATTTCATAGGGCACTCCCCTTCTTTTGTACACAAGGTCTGTGCAGTTCATATTTCAGTAGGACATCTGGAACGAGGCTCAATCGGACTGAAACAGTCCTTTAATGTGTACCTCTGATCTTAAACACAAGTCCATCAATATTTCTGAGGTGAGGACGCGTATAGATGAGAGGCATGAGTCTGAAGGCCTATTTAAAATGTGTCCATGGGTGGCAACTCTCTCCCAGAGAGCTTCTGAGGCACCAATTCTGCATCTGAAGGGAATATTAAATTATTATTTCAGAATTCCTTCATTAGCACCAGAAATTCAAGGCACAAAGTAGGTGATGAAGTTAAAGGAACTGATATGACTCCTTGGATGTATAGCATCTGTTCATGTATAATTCCTCAGGACTACATTAGGAAATTTGAATATCAGTTAAGATTCAAGTTGAGAAGAAGAGACAGATGCAGTTCTGAGACCAGCCCATGCAGAAATAGTAATTTTCTTTCTGAGTCTTTATTTACGTGCTTTGGTTCATTCATAAATTTTTCTTACACAAGGGAGCAGTGAAATATGTTAGTATAGAGCTTTCCTACCAGCTAGATCCTTAAATATCATTGTAACATTGTTTTGTTTTTGTAGGGACTGAAAACAATGAAAGAATGTAGGAATTTGAGGTGTTAACACAGGAATTTAAGCATGGAATCGGCAAAGAAAGCTAGGCAGAATTTAAAGGAAAGTAAGATTTGAAAGTCAGTTGGTTAAAAGCTGGTTATAATGTTCCTTCAGAAGGCTCTCCCTTGCTTGTTGCTAGATAGAATAAATGCTAAAAAGATCCTACTGACATTGGAGTGTGATGTCTATCTAAAAAATACTAAATTGTCTAGAAATGGTCAATATTGTCTTGGCTTGAACAAAATGTTTCATTTTATGTAGGCTCTCTTTGACCTTGCCAATTTAAATGACCTGTCTGTTTTAGGGCAATGTACTAAGCTTGCTGTTTGCTATGGCTGGCAGATATTTATAAGTAAAATTCATGATCAGTATTATCTTAATTCAGACATCACTATTCTCTTGAATTACTGTTTTAAGGAATTAATTCTAATAATTGTGTGCCATGGTGTTAATAATCATAGCAATCATTTTAGCACCAGATTTTGATTGCACAGCTTTTAGTGGCAAGGTTTTTGTTTTGTTAAGCGTCAGTGCAGGTTGTTTATCTATCAGCCTTTTGAGAGGATGAGCTTCTGTCAAACGTAGTTAGATGTTTTCTGATATTTTAGAAGGAGTTAGAGGTCAGATTTTTTCCAAACACTCAAATACATGCCCTGTTTGTTACTAGCCTCTTTTATGTGCAGCTATACACAAGTGTGCTGTTACAAGCAGTTTAGCCCACATTTTCATTTATGTAACACTTCACATTGAGTCGATATTACTGTAGCTTATTCTAGGTCCAGAAGTGCTTATGTAAGATACCACATATTAAATCAGTATGTACTAACTACACCAAGATCCAGCACTCAGCAAAGCATGAAGATCCATCTTTAACTTTAGTGATGGTGTCACTGAAGCTACTTATAGGCCTGCTGTTAAGCACAGGGTTGTGATTTTGGGACTAGCTAAAGATTCTTTGTTAACATTCACCATAGGAAGCCTACCACAAACACGTGGAAACCCGTGTTGGTATAATGTGTGGCCAGCCCTGTCACCCCTCTTCCACAAAGGTTGCTCCCTTGAAAGAGTTGTTCATTTTTTAGACCCACCCTGGAACAGTTACTCTCTCTCTAAATCCGCCCTCAAACAGTTATTCACCTTATCCACGCCCCCAAAGTGACGTCAGTGGAAAGTCCGAGAAGGCAGCAGCACAGAACTTTCAAACCCTCACGAGGCAAGAAAAACATTTGCTTTTTTTTCTGTGTGTGGATTTTTTTTTTTAATTATTATTTTTTTAATTTTTTAATGTGGATGATTTGTTGTATTTTGTCTAAGAACAGGCATGAGATTTGTGGTGGGAGGAATATGCTCACAGTCAACCACTTCAGCAGCTAACTAAGCGACGCAGCTGTGCTTCTTCATGTAACAAACCTTGGAAGCTCTCTCTTTCGTTTCATTACAAATGTTCCTCTAGGAGAAAACTTACTCCTTAATTTCCCCTAATCAATGTTATATGAGATGGTTATATGAAATGGTATATGGTTTTCACACTTGATGTGAAAACCGTGAAATCTTGTGGTTCATGGTGGGAGGGAGTCAAACATTTCTGGATTTTTTCATGGCTCAGATGATAGCTCAGAGGAATTTGATTAAGTATTGCTCATACTTGATTTGTTATTTTCTACCAGTAGGCCAGCTAACTCAGAGGAAAATGTATGTACTGCCCATCCTACCTAGGAAGGAGAGATTACACTCTACAGTCATGCCCAGTGGTACACCTTATATACAGATAGTGTTTTCAGGAGTACTGAATGCTTACAGATAATGGCTTATGGGACTGGCAAGTACTCAGCTGTCCAAAAAGCAGGTGTTATTATGAACTAAACAGGGCTTGGAGTTGTAATGAAGTCCTAGCCAGTTTGACTCCAAATATCTGTACACATGACTCGAGGCCATGGAAAGAATGATGCCTTGACAGCCTGATCTAGTGGGTGGCAACCCTGCACATGGCAGGGGGTTTGGAACTGGATAGGATTTAAGGTCCCTTCCAGCCTAGGCCGTTCTTTGATTACAGCCTGACCCTGCAAGGTGCTAAGCACTCCAGTCCCCATCCAGCAATTCATTTAGCTGGAACAACTTTACTGGGATGTTAACTGGTCTCTCATTAGCACTGTTTGTGCCAAGTATGCTCAATTTCCTGTAAGTACACAGGCTGTGCCTCTGCCCCTACCCACCTCACCTTTCTGGTTACCATTGCAGATGTATCCTGCCCTTTGCTTTGTACCTGGCAGACATCCTAATGAATACTGGTGCTCCTTATGCACTTCAAATTAAGCATATTTCTTTGCTGGACTGTGACTGGACTTTTTTGTGTGCTGCAGCACTGCATTATGGATGGACTGTTTAGTTCTCTACTCCCTAGTACATTAAATAGAGCAACTTCTGCTGACGATTCATTAACTATTCTAGCAATCTGTTGCTGCTGGAATGCTAGGGTTAGTTTCTGATCTTTTTTTCCAGGCAAAATCTGTGTAAAATGTGAGAGCTCACATGGTGTTTTTGTTAGGTACGATGCACTCACCAGGATTTGAAGGAAACCCAAATTTCAGCTTCCAAACTCTGATGAATGCAGACAGTCTCTACATGGTCTCTCATTATACTCTGCTGCTAAACCTGAAATTGGCCAACTCAGATTACTACAGGAAGAAGCCTCCCCAAGCTCCTGTATTGCTGGTGAGTTGGTGAATACAGAGAAAATGCTTGAAAAGAGATTGTTTCATTTCCTTTCACATAAAGCAGTCCGCATGTAAGTGTCCTTCATGATACTTGCTAAGTGGAGAAATAATAATTGCAAATGAAGCAAACTACTTATAAATTTTGCATGATAAACATCATGCATCTGAATTACGCAGCTTCTCTGCAATTCAGGGAGGAATGAATGCTGCCTACTGATTATCATTAAAGAAGCAGTCATTTTGATGGATGCTGCATCTTTGTAACAAATCTTCACTGCCAGTGTGTCATATATTAAGTTTTTTTAGTCCCTACTATAAAGGTGTGTGCCTTCATCTTGCAGATACTTCTGAGCATATTAATAAATGTCTTGCTTAATACCAGCTTTGCATTTATACAAATGAAGGCATCAGTTGTCTGAGTGAAAGATAATTAGGTTTTAATACCTAAGTATTACTGAAAATAGTTCAGATGTATTTAATTGAACCCCAGTTTGTCTGTGACAGCTGTTCAATGCAAAAGGGCCTGACTGCTGGACAAGCAGCATTAGGTGCCACAAATTTGTTTTTAATGGAGTAGAGATTCTATCCCCACCCTGTGAAAATGGTAAGAGATCATCTTGTGCCTTTGCTGTATGAGAACTGTCATTATTATTTGTGTCTTGCATGATCTACAATAAGAGAAAGGAAAGCTCTTTATTCGTGTATTCTCCAACGAGAATTATGTTCATGTCATTTTCACCATAGAGACATGCTATAATTCTCTGTTAGTTCTTAGTTTTGTATAACTTCATTTCTACTTCTGCATCACCTTATGCTCAGGAATGGATCTAGTGCTAGAAACTCATGCTGTAGAACTTGCTGTTGTCTTACTTCTGGCTTTTGTGGTTGCCTGCAGAAAGAGTTCATGAAGCAGGTACAGTCCAGTGGAGTGTTGATGATATTTTCCCAAGCCTGGGTTGAAGAACTGTACCACCAGGTACTAGAAAGGAACATGCTAGGGGAAGCTGGATACTGGGGAAGCCCTGAAGAACACAGCCTTCCACTTATTACCATGCTGACTGGTTAGTACAATGTTATGATGGCAGGAACTAACTTCCAATTGTGTCTAAAACAAGCTACAATAACACTCTGCTTTGGTCCATTACATACTGTGTAATCAGGCAGTGAGTGGTGTTTTGCTAATGTGCACCACTCAGTGGTGGCAAATACCTAAGTGCTTGTTCTGGGTCAGACAGGAAACTTTAAACTCTGGGTTTGAAAACAAATAAATCCACTGAAACTTCATAGTAGTCTTGAATCTCTGTGGTCAATGTGCCCCAAAGGTAATTAGACTGGAATGACTTGTTTGCTCAACTTGTGGGTTATCATCTGTGTGGTGGCAATGTCCCAAAGGCACAGTTATTATCAAGATCCAGATGAGCAGAGACTCCTCCTTACTGTCTCCAGAGGAATGCATGCTAATTAAGATAAATGATGAGGATATGGAATTAAAAAATAAAAAAAAAAGGCACTTTATTTTCTCTGAAAGGTGGCTGCCTTTTGCTTCAGGAGATACTGATAGACTTCAGGAGTTGTAAGGAAGAAATGCACTTCTTTAAATGCTACTGGACCCAGTATCCTACTGGTATTCCTAATAACTTATGTGTAAAATCATGTGAATTTTGGTTACCTTTAGAAAATATATTATGTTTATTTAAATTACTTGTAATCTGGACCCTGTTGTATATAATGAATATACCTGAATCACACAGCTGCTAGGCTCTCCAGTCAGTTGTAGGCTAGGTCACTCACTGAACTTCTCTGAACTTCTTCATTTACACAACATGAAGATGTGATATGCAGTTTTCTCTTTCCATAGGATGACTTTAGTAGCACCACTGTGTTGAAATTTTTAAAATCTGTCTGGGGATACATTTAAGTGTATGCATAAAGGAGAGTTCTGCATATTCTGGCCAAATGAATACAGAAGAATGTTTGACAGTATGGTGGGGACGGGAAAGGTTGATTTGTATACTGAACCAGAGCATATTTTAGTTCTCTCAACTTCAGTTACAGCAGGTTTGGTACCTTTTAATGATGAGTGGTAAGTCTGCTGTTTTCTTGATGTCATAGCAAAGCCATTTCTGTATGCCTTTGGTACAAACAAATATAAATAGTGGATTCTGGTCTTGGAAGCTTTCCACAGATTTTTCCCCCTTCGGTTCAGATTTGTGCTATGCTAGGGATATGCCAAATGGCAGTAGTGAGAAGCTGAAAATCCAGAGCATCTCTAACAAGTAATGAAAAACAATCCTTAGCTTCATTTGAGAGAAAAAAATATCATATGTGATCTGCTGAAAGGCAACAGGGTGCCTATGATACTACAGTGATATAAAATACACTGTCTTTATGAATGTACGTACTGTATGATTGCAAAGAAGTAATTAGAACAGTGTATGTATGGAGAACACCGCTTCAGCTGAGCCATTAAGTGGTAATCAGAGAGCAATGTTCTGAGAGGTTGTTGCTGACTGTGTTGAGACCAGCGTTTCCTTTAAATATTGTATGATGAGCGGTCAGTTGGGAAGCTGAAACAAACACTTTTGGAAAAATGATAGCTATGTGAAAAAGAGACAGACGGGCTTCTAGGAAGCAAGTCAGGCCAGTGTCCTTAATATTAAACTCTGCGTTGCAAATTAGTCTTGTGTTGGAGTAAATGTTGACGTTGAACCCATGTAGGTCTAACGCACTAACAATTCCATTTAGAAAATAGGATCCCAGTGTGTCAGGGGGACTGTGAGATATAGGAACACATGGTTACAGGATTTAGCAAGATTTTAAAGGAAATACTCAGAAATACAGAGATTGTGCATAAGTGTGCAGAAGGTCCAAAACAATAAGAAATACCATGTGATCTTTACCAGAATTTCCACTGACTGTGTAATTTCAGGGAGCTCTTGGGAGTAAGGGTATTTCCACTCTGTAAGAAAAAGCTGGTGATACCAGGCAAAGAATATAAAGTGCCACAACTTATGTTTATACCAAGGCTTCACCAGGCTGCCAGAAAATAGAATCTAAAAAGCATACATGAGAAATCAGGGACACCAAAACCTGCTTGAACGTGGATCCAGTAAGAGATACTTTCTTTTTGCCATCTGTTTGTTGAATAGTAAGTAATCTGTTGTTCTCTTTGATATTCTGTCAGACATCGATGGCTTGGGAAGCAGTACGGTTGGTGGCCAGTTGATGGCATCTGCTTCAGCTCAGTCTCCTCTTTCCCAGAATCAGAAGACAGATGATTCTGTTGTTGCAGGTATTGAGAATATATTGTAAGCACAAGTGTATCTACCAGTGGTGAATTGTTCTATACCGTAAACACACTTGGGTTTAAGAACAGCATTTTAAGATTTGAAGGAAGTGTATCAGTGTATCCTGCATATGAGCTTCTTTTGTAGCTTTCAGGCTGTATACCTTTATTTCCACCATATGAAGTCCAGCATGCAGGGGACATTTATGACTTCTTTTTTTGCATTTTTTAACTGTTGATAATAGAGATGCTGTTATGTCATTTTCCAGTAGTGATAGTAATGCATTTCTCACTCCAGGAGTTGCTTTTGCCCGATACCTCTTAATTGGCTGTTGGAAGAACTTGATTGACACTTTGTCTACACCGCTTACTGGTCGCATGGCAGGCAGCTCCAAGGGGCTGGCATTCATCTTGGGAGCAGAAGGAGCCAAAGAGCAGAACCAAAAGGAGAAGGACTCCATATGTTTGAGTCTGGATGGATTGAGGAGGGCAGCCCGCCTGAGCTGTGCCCTAGGTACTGCTGTGTTTTATGTTGCCATGGCACATTCACAAAATAGGACTATAACTTTCCCTACATGAATTTGGAAGAGAAAGCAGTATTCTTTTCTAGTCTGGGATGATCAAGGAACCTGTAGAACTTCTCATAGAACTCACCTTACCTACAACATAGACATATACATCCATTTACTTGACTCAACCTGTCATTCAGATTGCTTGAGGTTAAGGAGGAAAAGCTAGTTAAACATTCTGCTGTTTGTTTACAGGAGTTGCTGCTAACTGTGCATCTGCTCTTGCCCAAATGGCTGCTGCATCCTGTGTCCAAGAAGAGAAAGAGGAAAAAGAAATCCAAGAGCCCAGTGATGCTATAGCTCAAGGTGACAATGTGATTGAATGATCTACCTTATCTCATATTGTTTGCAGAGATGCAGATGGAAGGTGCTTTACTATACACAAAAGAATGACAGAGGGGGATTATTTTTTTATAGGCATAGGACAAGTAAGTCTAGAGGTTTCAATAAATGTCTTGCTGTGGTAGGTTCTTAACAATATGTCAATTGTAATTTATATGGAACTGAAATCAGCTAAACAGCAAGTAAGGTTAACTGCTTTTTGTTGTTTTTTTTAATGTGCACTTCCCAAGTTTTGTGACACTTTTACAATGAGAGGGCATCAGAAAAACAGTATTTTGTTGCTATGTTGTGTGAGAACATAAACTGAACCTGACTTGTCTTGAATCATGTTCAAGGAAGTTAACGATTAAAGGAATTAAATTAAAGAAGTTAAAGAAAAGGTATACCAGCTAAAATGTTTTGCACCCCTGTGCAGAAGTTCCTCACACAGTGAAAGTCAATAATGTCTTTTATGGCTGGTTGGAGATCAGGTAACATCTGATTTCTAATGGCAAGAAACCCATAACAAAGTATACATTTGCACTGATGACCCTACTTGGCACTGATTTCAGTGTCTTAGTAGAGAAAACAAACCTGAGGTCTGAGGGTAAGCTATCTTTTGAGCGCTGTGCTCAATATAACTGAATTGAGTTGGCCAGCCTGCATAGAAGCAAAAAAGAGGTAGTAGCAGTGGCCAGAGGCCATTAGCAAATGCTCTTTGTTGGGGCTTTTATATGGAAATGAGGTGTAATCCACAAACCCTTTTTTCTATTGCAAAAGAGATTTTAGTAACAAATAAATAAAAATCCAGCCAGCACAGAATAGGAACATGTACTATTGCTGGCAATGCTACATATGTTCTGTGGGCAATAAGATGTGAATTTGAGGCTAGAGGGTGTTAATCTCAGACTGATTTTTCATAAAATCAGTCCACAGGAGTTTTCATTTTAAAACTGCCTTATGTTTATGTGGAAAAAATGAGATTCTGTAGTTTTTTTTTTTATCTAAATTCGAACTTCTTTTGTAGCTTTCAGGCTGTATACCTATATTACCACCGTATGAAGAAGCAAATGTTTGTTTAAAAGCTGGAGATGGCAATGTTCTTTTTGGTTTTTATGCTGCAGTGAAACAGAAAGTGGAGCAGAAACTCGAACAGATGGGGAAAGTGCAGGGTGTCTGCCTACACACTGCTCATGTTTTGTGTATGGATGCAGTCCTAAATGTGGGCCTGGAGATGGGAAGCCACAATCAAGACTGCTGGCCTCATGTGTTCAGGTACTTAGCAGCTTTCCCAAAAGAAACATAATTTTCTATGTCTTGCCATGAAGTACCAGTCTGAGAAAAAGGACTTTACATACTCTGGGAGTCTTCTTCATAGCCAGTAACAGAGTGAATTAACTGTAATTAAATTGAATTAAATATCTGTAAGAGAAAAATCACTTCTTTCCACATCTGTTTGGAGACTAAATCAATGCTTAGAAACTTCAGTGTTGTCAGAAGACTGTGTCAGATCCTGAAACCTAAATGGCCATTCAAGTTCCTCAGATAGGCTGTTTGCTATATGAGGACATGGGAGGCCAAGGGATGTAAGATAACACACTATCTGTGATGTGTCTGAGAGTTTTGCTTACAGCATGCTTCTGACTTGAGTAGAGACTCAAGCATTTCTTCAGTGAGTCCTCTGATTTAGGGACACAGGAGCTGTTGTTCTGTGGCTTTAATCCATCTTTTCCTTCTGTTCTCAGGGTGTGTGAGTACATCAGCACTCTGGAGCACACCCACTTCAGTGATGGCACCTCCCAGCCCTGCCTTACCATCACCCAGTCACAGCAGGCACCTGGAGGCCCACATTCAGACACTGAGCTGGGAGAGACTCCTCAGGAACAGACCCCTGAGCAGGAGACGACCCTCAGCAGTAATCCTGTCATTCAGCCAGTTTCCATCCAGGAACTTGTCAAGGAGAGCAGTAAGGGCAGAGCTTTCGACTTCCGTGGAGGCAGCTTGCTGTGTGGGACCAGTGCTGCCAAGGCTGTTCTCACACTCTCCACACAAGCAGACAGGTAAAAGTGTCACTAGATTCTCTGCTCCTAAAACAAGACCAACATAGACCTTCCTGTGATGCAGTGGGCCCTGATCCTTGTGTCTATTGCAGTCCCCTTGCTTCAGTTGAGTTTTACAGGGGAGCTACGTATCACAGCCAGCAGCTGTTAAAAGACTTGGTTTTCTGCACCTTTGCTGTACTTGCCCTGCTTTTTGGAAGCGCTGGGATGGGTATGTCTGAATCTGCCAGTAAATCACATGCATCCTAGGAGTGGTAGTTCTATTGCTTGCATGTAAGTTAATCTATTTTGTTTGCTCATTAAAGCAGACCAAAAAAAAAAAAAATAGGTGTCATGCCTTGACAAGAAGGGACAGAAGCAGTTCCTACTGTCAGAACAACAGAAAGTTTTTCATGGAAAGCAGAATCAGGGAATCATGATTGTGTTAACTTCTGGCTGTACCATGTGAAATTTCTTTGTGATTCTGTGGAAACTTGCCTCGAATCTGTGCAAAATTTTAAGGGTACAGGTTTATCTCTTAAATCTTAAGAGCTCATTGCAGTTGAAAACAATGGCTCTTGTTTATATTCCTACATAGCAATTCAGATATAGCAGCTTTAGATCTAAGACTTAAATTCAATTCTTTGTCATGTTAAGGGGCTTTACAGATGGAGCAAACTGCTATGATCAGTGAAGCTCTGATGATGTAAGTTGGGAGAGCTGAGCATATTAGCTTTTGTAATTATTGTTTATGAACTGTTTATGCAATTAAGATCCACTTAAGGGGCAGTGGTGATTCCTTGAAAAAGTGCTTTTTTGTTGTAGTGCTGCATTTATATCTTGGAAGGGTTCTGTTTGGTCCTACAGCACTCTACCACCCTCCAATTGATAACATTTCTGGATGAAGGTCTTCCTGTGTGTGTTGCCAGAGGCAACACACAGCAGTTACGTACATTTAAAGGTTTTCCTCTTGCAAATGCATTTAAGTCTCCATATCATGAATTTTTCAGTTGATTTCTATTCTTTTATTCACAGGCTCTTTGAAGATGCTGCTGATAAGTTAAATTTGATGGCACTGGGAGGCTTCCTTTACCAGCTCAAGAAGGCTTCTCAGGCCCAACTTTTCCATTCTGTCACAGACACAGTTGATTACTCCCTAGCAATGCCAGGTAGAAAAAAAACAAACAAACAAACACAGACTTCTTTGTCTCACATACAGCTGTATGGCTTGCAAAATTAGCTTTGTACTACCTTTTAGTACTTTGCAACATTTTCTTAGGGTTTTAATTTTTCCGCTTAAATTTCAAGGTATAAAGAAAACAGTATTTATTCTAATAAGATCTTTCTGTAGGAGTACTGCAAAATCTTTAGAAAAGACAAAGAACTTTTTTTAGACAAGGACCACATCTACCCCTGCTGTGAGACGCTTCAAAGGACATTTGCTTAGAAGTGTTCATAGAATGAGTGATAACAAATGAAGCATGCAATTGAGAAATGAAAAATTCAGCAGTGGAAGTTGTCTGCTTACTCTTCCCCAGCAAAGTGAAGCATATACCTTACAGTACAAAACCTGTAGAAAGTTGTCTGTCCTGTAGCAGACATGAAAACTTCATTGGTTTCTCCTTTCCCTGGGGTGTTACTTAGCATTATCTCAGTATAAAAATTAGTCATTCTTTTTTGGTTCCTCCTTGTCTCCAATCGCTTTTTTATTTATTTATTTATTTTAAGTAAAAAAAAAGGTATGGCATTATGTGTAGCAGTAAGTCAACAGTAGTAGTAATAATGATATCCACATTAAGGTAGGGCAATTAATTGGATATATATTTTTACACTGAAAGTGGCATATACATATTTTAAACTAGCATATTCTAATGAGACAATGAAGTGTATTTTCAAATATTATAAGAGGAAAGGAAGATGAATTGTTTTCAGTAGGAAGTAAAAGTATTAGTGGCTGTAGAACACATGATCCTTTTCTCAAATTCTATGCTTCTCACCAATTGTGTGGTAATAAGTACAAAAGACAAAGCAACACAAAATAATCTGCAGTCTATATTCTTTCCTGTAGATGTCACCAGAGATCTTCACAACTACTATTGGGCTCTCAGTAGCAATTGTTTACCTCCTTGCTTAACTTGTCTGCTTTTATCCATACTGGATATCATAATTGAATTATAATGCATTATTTTCCAAGTCGTTATGTCTTAAAAACGTTCCCAAAAAATCTTCCCTCAAAGGAAAATGAGATGTTTTTATTGCATTGTTCATAAAGCTTGGGTCTATCTCCTGTTCTTTTACCTACCCAGGTATAAGCTGTGTTTTACACTGATTTCTTTCTGGCTGAGCATTATGAATTTTGATTTACGTTTCTCTTCAGACATCCAGAGATGAAGGAGCAGCTTTTTGTTTACGCTTCTGTTTATTTTGTTTTACTCCCTTGTAGGAGAAGTAAAATCCACTCAGGACAGGAGAAGTGCACTTCACTTGTTCCGACTTGGTGATGCCATGCTCAGAATTGTGAGGAGTAAATCCCGCCCACTGCTCCACCTCATGCGCTGCTGGAGCCTGGTGGCACCTCACCTGGTGGAGGTAGGATTGGGGAGAAGATGGGAATGTGTGCAAGGGATGGCAAAGCTGAAACAGCTGAAGAAGGCATAATGGTCTTCTTGAAATATGTAACAGCCCTTAGCATTGTGTCCTATTTGATCTGTTCTCTTCACTTTTAAGTTCCATAAATGGCCAAATATAAGCATGACCAAATGCCACTTTTTATCAAATATGATGTATATACATAAAAACTTTTAAAAGGGAAAAATTGTCACCTGGTAGCAACAAAAGGTAGTACTTGACATGAGATCTGTTCTGTGGGGTTTATTATTTAATTTATTTTTAGCTGTCTGCTCCTTCAATTTTCATTAAATCTTTAGGCATCTGTGAGACCCCAAGCAGCTCATAGTCTCAATCACCCATTTCCATAGCAGTACTTTCCCATTTTCTTGGCAAATGGGCTCCCTAGTCATGATGAAGCTCTCATTAGGGTTTGGCATCATGAAGTGCTTTTGTGTTTGGGTGAAGTCTTATACTCTTCCTCTCCCTGCAGGCTGCCTGTCACAAGGAGAGGCATGTGTCTCGGAAGGCTGTCTCTTTCATCCATGACATCCTTACCGAAGTGCTGACAGACTGGAATGAACCTTCTCATTTTCATTTTAATGAGTCACTTTTCCGCCCCTTTGAGCGTATCATGCAGCTGGAGCTGTGTGATGAGGATGTGCAAGACCAGGCAAGTCAGCACTGACTAGGGTGCCTGTATGTGACCTACCATGCCCATAAGAAGGATGGTCAGCAGAGTGCACTTGATCCACTTGAATATTTCCCAAATGCCCTTCAAATGGTGTCCCTCAATTATCTTCAGGAATTCAGGAGGGCCCTGCCTACCTAAATCAGCATTATGGTAGCATACAGATATCTTTCTGTACTTCAAAAGAGCCTTGACGTGTTGCTGTTCAGTGTAGCTTACTATTTTTCTTCTGTAAAGCAGTTGTGAATGATATATGTGTGGCCCTATTCCACAGTCAGGTCTTCCTTCAGGAGCAGACCCAAATGTGATGCTTGAATCTACCAAATTATTGTTATATTTCCCAAGATTCTAGCACACCAGGCATTATAACAGTACCTTTGGAGAATAATGTTATACAACGCAGAAGCGCTGTTTTCAGAACTCTGCCCCTGACTACTTACCTGTTTATTGCTTAGACTAGCTCTTTAGTAGAAGTGCATCTGGCTTTAAAGTGATTTAATTAAGTTATCTAACAAAAAAAAAAGTCTAGATTTTGAAACCCAGATAAAAGAGTATATCTAGAAACGTGTTTAAAGCCTTCCTCATTCCTTCTGCAGGTCCAGCTTTGTATCAGTTCTGGTTTTATTCTTTGAGCCTTTCCTACACTGTTTGCAGGTGGTCACCTCCATAGGAGAGTTGGTGGAAATGTGTTCTACCCAGATCCAGTCAGGATGGAGACCCCTGTTCAGTGCCCTGGAAACAGTTCACAGCGGCAATAAGTCAGAGGTTAAAGAGTACCTTGTAGGAGAATACTCTATGGGTAAGGTCTTCAGCACTGACTATTTTGTGTATTCTTCTGTTTCGCAATCTAATTCCTTGAGGCCCCAAGAAATAACTCAGTACATTTTAAATGCCTGACCGGAATAGATACTCTGAAACAGTATAGCTCACAAAGGCACTGTTATACTCTAAGACTGTACTAACGTATCTGATTTATTAGGTTGGGAGTAAAAGCAGAGATAATTTCATTTCTATCCTTTCAGTTCTGGCAGATGAGTATAATAAGAAAAAAATGCTTCAAACCTACTTGAATATTTTTGAGCAAAAAGACAGTGTGTGAGTGCTGAGCATAGTTGAGTTCTTGTCACTGCCCTGCTGTAGTGACTGCATACAGTCACTGCCTCTCATGTCAACCGTCTTTCTTACCATGTGAAACCTCCTGCTCTTAAACATTAATGTCAGTTGGTGCGATGCTCCAGGTAGGTACTTGTTCAAGCACTCGATCACAGGGGTTCTAATTACTAGTGCTGTTACAAATCATTTGCTTTACAATTGATCCTACGTCTCTCTCAGAGATGATTGCAAGTATGGAAGCTGGGTAGTTAGGACAAATAATTTTAGTCTGTCCTTTTGACACATTTACAGGTTAATAAATGTTACAAGCCATGCATGAGGGGTATGGTTTGCCTCCGAAATTTTGTCTTTCAGATCTGTTATTATCATGGCAAAATGCAAGTTTATACAGCTTTAGTAGACTGATTAGCTACTTAGGAAAAACAAAGCTATTTTGTCACTGTATCAGAAGAGTCAGAATAGTTTTCAGTGTGACTGCTGTGTCATCTTGACAGTTAGGACTAAGGCTCCACCAAACAACAATGTTACACAACTGCTGATTGCATGTACCTGCTCTTACCATGTGGGCACTGGTAAGCAGATATTTTTTATAGATGTTGTGAAGAAAGGAGTCAGCATTACTTTCAGTGTAGGGTTACGCGAGTTGCCTTGGGAGCAAAAGAGGAAAAAGCATGTTAGTTTTTACTTCTAAGATGACTGAAGCATTTCTGTCTCTTCCCGGAACAGAATTGATCCTACAGATTCAGCTAAACTGTTTAGAAACTGTTGGAAATTCATCTTTATGGGGGATGGGAAGAAGTCCTCATCTTGTAATTTCCACAGGGAAACGCCAGGCCCCAGTGTTTGATGTCTTTGAAGCATTCCTAAACACTGACAGCATCCAGGTCTTTGCCAATGCCGCCACCAGTTATATTATGTGCCTTATGAAGTTTGTGAAAGGACTGGGTAAATGCTTTTATTTTCCTTATATTTTATTAACTTACGCTATGTCAAACTTGATTCTGCCAAAAATGAGAATCCTGCTTTGTAATACAGAGTACTGTAGGGAAAAGAGAAGCAGTGTCTCAGTTTCTCAAGAATAAAGTCCAAAATGATTGAAAGAGAACTTCAGAAACATTTTGAATGCTATCAAGGGCATGAGTTATAATAGAAGCAAAGATACATCTCTCTCTTTTAAATGTTTTCGTCATTTCATCTTATTTACATCAGGACTTGCTTAAGTTCAGTTTTAAAAAAAAATAAAAGAACACAATAATTGAGATATGACCCTGGCACTGTGCAGTGACAGCACAGATTGTTTGTAACAGATGGTATGTCTTATATTTAGAGGTCAAAGCTACATGGCTTCTTTGCACCCTTTCCCACCTCAGCAGTGTTTTGCATATGCAGTGCTGAAAACCTGCTGAACCTTGATTGAGATCATAAGCATTAATTTTTCTGTTGCGTTACTGAGGACAGCAGAGACAAGGTGTGTCAAGTCTCAGTGTAATCTTGGTGTTTCACCAAACTTCAGAGTAGAGGAGAGTGCTGCTGGGTCATTCAACCCACAAGTTCTTTTGCTTGCCTTGATTGTTGCAGTTAAACAGTTTTCATTGAACTGTAAAATTGGTATATTTTTCCCGTATGTAAATTGCAAAATTTCTAGTAAACAGTAAAGGTGAACTGTTTTTTTTCTTTATACATATGAATACAACTTAGGCCAAAGGATCCACAGGGATAGTAAGCTTTGGAAGTACCTAACTGCAATTATTCCTTTCCTGTTAAGTTATTTCACCATTTATATCAATGGGGGACAGAATTCAGCTTATGATGACGGACTGGAATCGTAATTATTATTACAAAAGAGAAATAAACTTGCTCGTCCAGTACAGCAAGGAGAACATGCATCCCTTGTGTAGAAATGTTGTCATATTTCTTCTAGGTTTCTTAGTTTCATGAGATAAGTTTGTCCCATTTGTGGTTACACATCAAAAAGCAAGATATGAGAATCGTTCAGTTGTCATCTAATAAGATCAGACAAAGGATGATTTCTGCATTCTATTCAGACAGTGGAATTCAACTGCATGAAAAACAAAGCTAATCCTGTTTGTTTCTCTTCTGTCCCTCCCACTGCTGCCTTTCCCATCCCCAGGGGAAGTAGATTGTAAGGAGATGGGTGACTGTGTGCCAGGATCAGGATCAGCATCTACAGACTTGTGCCTTCCCGCTCTTGATTACCTCAGGAGATGTTCTCAGGTATAGTGAACAATCTTGCACAGGTACTAACATGGCCTAGGAGACAGTCCTGTCCTCGAGGCTTTGCATCACTGGTTAGGTAAAATGCATGAATACAATAGAATTTGCTACAGAGCTGCTGGTAAGAGGCTGCACTGCCAGAGAGAGACTGGCAATCTGAAGGATCCTCGTGAGTTCTGAGCCAGCTAACAGCAGGAAAACTGAGGAGGTAGCAGCACTCAGAACTGAAGGGCATGTGGGGAAAAAAAACATTCAAAACCTAACAGTTGCACATCCAGAGTGACATAAATTCTTATTTGCATAGTTACTATAAAACAGAGCTAAAAGTAGTGACGTTTCTCTTATGTATTTTTTTTCTCTCTCTCCTTTTTTTTTTTTTTTTTTTTTAGTTGTTAGCCAAAATCTACAAAATGCCCTTGAAACCTATTTTCCTCAGTGGCCGGCTGGTTAATATGCCCCGAAGAGTGCAGGAGCAGTCAGCCAGCAGTGAGGATGGCATTGAGTGCATCCTTTCTGACTTTGATGATGACACTGGTAAGTGCACTGAAAGCAGGAAATGTAGGATTAATCAATTGTTTCTTTTACATGTCACTGTAAATTTTGCCAACTGCTGAAAGCAAAAAGGAGGGGAAAAACTTCACAGAGTTTATTGTGTCTGTTGTCTGTATGCACATACAACTTAGAGTTCAGATTCTGTCAATTTCTGTATGTTAAAAGCTACAACTCATGTATGAGAAAAATGCAAGCAGTGTCACGGAAGAAGGCAATAATATTGTAATAAAATGAATAAATATCAGGGTACTTAACATGTTATAATACAGCGAATACAGACATATGTCTGAGAGCAAACACAAAAGTACTTTCTGGATCCACAGCTACTGTTGTTAAGGAATGAAAACCTTTTGAGGTTGATGCTGACAGCCCTTCCTTTCAAAGAAAAACTGTCAGTGTTGAGTTGAAGTTTACAAAGATAAAGAATACTTACTTAGATATGTTTCCAAACTTAAGTGCCATGGTCTGTTGAACCAAATGAACTAAAATCAGTAGGAAGTGCTGTGACCTCCAGAAAAATGACGAACATTATTCTCCTAGTTATCCGTGTTGCTTTTGTGGGTTGTGGATTAATCAGGTGTTTGAAGAACACCGGAACTAGATGTGCATGGAGCCAAGCAATAGAGAAACGCAGACATAGTGCTTCTGAATCCACGCTGGCCCTCTGAAGCAGAAGCTGGTAATGTACTAGAACAATACTAAGTAAACCGAGTTTACAAAAACAGAAGGCAGTGCCTCACTGGGCACTGGGGTCCCTGAGAAAAGGGCTGTTGACATCATCTACCTAGACTTCAGAAAAGCCTTTGACACTGTCTCCCACAGTATTCTAGATAAGCTGGCAGCCTATGGCTTGGACACTCTTTGCTGGGTGAAGAACTGGCTGGAGGGTAAGGCCTAGAAAGCAGTGGTGAATAGAGCTAAATCCAGCTCGCGACCCATCATGAGTGATGTTCCCCAAGGATTGCTATTGGGGCTTGTCCTGTTCCATATCTTTATCGGTGACCTGGACAAGGGGATTGAGTGCACCCTCAGTAAGCTGGCACACAACAGCAAGCTGGGAGAAAGTGGTGATCTGCCAGGGAGTAGGAGGGCTCCTCTGAGGGATCTGGACAGGCTGGATAGTTGGGCTAAAAATAATGTGATTAAGTTTAACAAGACAAAGTGATGAGTCCTGCACTTTGACCACAACTCCAGTCAATGCTACAGGCTTGGGTCAGAATGGATGGCTAGAAGACTATGTGGAAGAAGTATGGACCTGGGGGTGTTGGTTGATGCTCAGCTAAACATGAGCCAGCAGTGTGCCCAGGTAGCCAAAGAAGGCCAGTGGCATCCTGGCTTGTATCAGAAGTGCTGCCAGTAGGAGCGAGTGATCATTCCTCTGTACTCAGCACTGGTGAGGCCACACCTTGAGTAGTTTGTTCAGTTTTGGGCCTTTCTCTTCAAGAAAGATGTCCGTCAAGGCCCTTGAAAGTGTCCAGAGAATGGCAGCAAAGCTGGTGCACAAGCCCTATGAGGAGCACCTGAGGAGACTATAATCATTTAGTCTGGAAAAGAGAAGGCTCAGGGGAGACTTTACAGCTCTCTGCAAGTCCTTGAAAGGATTATTTTGTATAACTAATGATAGGACTGAAGAGAATGGCTTCAAGTTGCAACAGGGGGATTCAGGTTGGTTGTTAAGACAAATTTCTTCTCCGAAAGAGTGGTCAGGTACTGGAAGAGGCTGATAACAGAGGTGGTTCAGCCACCATCCCTGGAGCTGTTTAAGAAACATGTAGATGCTGTACTAAAGAATGTGGTTTAGTGGGGAAGTATTGGTGGCAGGTGGATGGTTGGTTTGGATGGTCTTGGAGGTGTTATCCAACCTTGGTGATTCTGTGATTCTATGAAAAGTCAGTTCCAAGATCTTGCAGAATGTTTTAGCCTACTTTGCCTTAGGGTAGTGCAGTGTATTTTCATAGTGTCTTTTATTCCGTGCCAAATTATTCAATAAGTTGCTAACAGAGAATGTTTTTAGCTCTTCCAGATTTGAAGATAGCCAGACTTAGTGCTGAGTGAGTTGTGCTATTTCCTCACTTAGAAAGATAATTAAATAATTCTGTACAAAACAGGTACAAACCGTTCTGGGCAGATTTGCAGTACTAATGAGATCCCTTAGTGTTATGTATCTCACATACAACTCTACTGCTTGCAGGATTTCCTGTGCATTCTTATGGTTTTAATTTTTCCAGTTGAAATTTCAAAGTGCAAATAAAACACATCTAGTCTAGTTGAATCTTTTTGTAGGGGCAATTCAAAACCTGTAGAAGGGCTGAGCCCTTCTAAATGTCCATTTCTTTGGACATGTACCATATCTGCATCTTTTGTAAAACACTTCAGAGGACATTCATTTCATTACTGGACTTAACATTTTTTATGCTTTTTAAGAAAGAAGATTCAATTGGCTAACTTGTCACTCAATACTTGAAAATAACTTAAAAAAAAATAAAACAGCAATTGGACTAGTGGGAATGGCAAACTTAGACCAGAAAAAAGTATGTAGAGGAGGAAGAGTGGGACAAAACATGAAACTAAATTAAAGGGAAAGAAAAGGAGACAATCTTTTCAAAAACTGATATTGCCCTCTGCAATTATACCACAGCAGTGAAATGAGAAAGTACTTACAATCTTTTAAGTTATTTAATTGCTTAGTTTCCATCACTCTCTGAGTTCCACCTGTGGTCAGTGCAGTGTCACACTGCTTTTTAAAGTCTGTTTTCTTACTTGTAGGCCTTATCAATGTCTGGATTATTCTGCTGGAAGAATTAACAACTGCCATATCCAACTGTCCCCGCCAGCACCAACCTCCAACTCTGGATCTGCTCTTCGAATTGCTGCGGGATGTTGCCAAGACACCTGGTAATTAAAGGATAAACTCTGAGCTACTGGAGCCCTGGCCTGTCCCTTGTAGAATACTAACCCACCTCTATAAACTGTGATATTCTTCGTGCAAGAGCTGCACAGACATGCTCAAATACAATGGAATTTTCTCAGAATGGGATTTGTGGTTCCAGTTAGTTAACCTATTGTTCTGTGGTGACAGAAGGCATGCTGTAGGAGTACGTTTAAGTCCTGCATACACAAATTAAGAGGTGCAGTATTCTGTCAGTGTCCTGGCTACGGAAAACATTTGCAAGTGCAGGAAACTCATAAAATTATACAGTTCTGTAGGCCTCCTGAGCAGCACAGGAGATTCACAGTTGAGTAAACATTCATGTACTCAGAACTAAAACTAATCTCATGATGAAATCTACAACTGCACCATTCTCTTAACCCATAAAAAAGAGTTTCAGAAACTGCCTTCTCTAGAATCACCCCTGGCTTCAAGCTTGGAATGAATTAAGAAACTTATCTGGAATGTAGGCTGTGTAAGCAAAAATATGCAGCCATCATTGTGTTTATTTTAAGGCCCAGGATTTGGCATTTTCGCGGTTGTACATCTTCTTCTTCCTACGATGTCCCTTTGGCTCCATCGCAGCCATGGTGACCATTCTTACTGGGATGTGGCATCTGCTAACTTCAAGCATGCCATTGGCCTTTCTTGTGAACTCGTAGTGGAGCACATTCAAAACTTCATACACTCAGGTATGTCCTAACACTGTCAAATCTCCTGATAGTTGTTTAATGGCACATTACTGAATAGCTACCTGGGGAGGTGATTTCTTTGCTTTTTTGTTTGCTCAAGTGTAAAACAAGAGGAGGACGGTTAAGAATTTGTTTTCTTTTTTATTAACAAATAGAAAAAATATAACTTGGAAAGGGATTTGTGGAGGTTATTTTGTCCATGCTGTTGCTCAGACAAGGGCTAACTTCAAAATTAAATAATCACAGTGTTCATTTCCAAAAGAAGACAATGAGACTTCAATCTTAAGGAACATTCAGAAACAGAAGCTAACAGAATTTCTCTAGTATAACTGAAGTCTACACATTTTAAATCATTAACCTCAAAAGGACAGTTCTCATTTCAATAGGATGTGATGCATGTTTCAAAACATGAACTCTACTGATATCTACATAGAAAGAATTGGTTTTGCAAAGTTTCTGATTTGCAGTAAGCATGTCAAGACTGTCTTTAATTGCAATGCAAAGGCAATGATGCTAAATAAAACCAGTTTGTATCTTTTCCTTACAGATATTGGTTATGAAAATATGATCAATACTATGCTAAAAGATCTTTTCAAGTTGCTGGTCGCCTGTGTAGCAGAACCAACAGAAATTATTTCCAGAGTCGGCTGCTCTTGTATCAGGTAACAATCTGTTAGCATATTAAAAAAAAAAAAAAAAAAAAGTACTTGTGGACAGACTAAGTTGGCTAGCATCTCAGAAGCCTGCAATATATCTCTATTTTAGACTTATCAGCCTTTTTTTTTTTTTTTTTAACTGTTTTCTGTCTGTTTCAGAACCTGTAGTTTTGCACATTGCTATGTCTGTCATTCCTGTAAAAATATTTGCACAATGCATATATACAGTTAGTCGATAATTAATCCTTAGGAAAAATAATTAAAGGGCTTTCTGTGGCAATTCACAGGTCTTTGAGCGTAGTGGATATCTTTACAGTCTTCAGTTTATTGCAATCACAGTCAAAATAAACACTCCATTATATACTTACAGAACATATAGTTCTTCTTCAGGAGAGATGATTGTTTAAGGAGGAAAATTGAAGGAAAAGCAGTCAGAAATTCAGCGTTATATCAAAAAAAATGGGTCAGGCTAACAACTACTAATTCTTAGGAGACTGATTATTATTAGCTAGCTACTAAAAGGACCTTTTCTCTAGTTTTCCACCTTCTCCCATTTCAGCTGAGAACTGTTCAGTTATTTCTTACAGTAATGTTTTCCTGTGTGCCTACTTTTAGGTATGTATTAGTGACAGCAGGTCCTGTTTTTACTGAAGAGATGTGGAGACTTGCATGTTGTGCCTTGCAGGATGCGTTCTCTGCCACTCTGGAGCCAGTAAAGGTAAATGCCTTTTTGCTGACAGTCAAAACTATTTATACTTTAACTTTTGACAAGTTGTCTCACACATGCACACGCGCACACACATACATAAGGTTTTGGATACAGAGGCTGGAAAATAAGATTATGTTTTAGTTTTCATTGTTTATTTATTTAATCACAGTGAAAGGCATTGGATGAACAATGGAGACAGATGTTTTTTTTGAAGCACGTTACAGACAACAGTGATTAATAACTTTAAATTGCCCCACCAGCAAGATAGCAGAAAATCCTTACCTTTTGTTCCAGTTCTTCTGAATTGGTTAAAAGTAGACAGAAAAAAAAGTTGCTTACTTGTTCCAGTTGCTGCATGCTCCATATAGATTATTTTTCAAATCACCACCATGTGACAAAAAAAAATTCCCTTTAGTTCACTACTATATAAGTTTGCATTTGTATCACATACACTGAATACTGAATAGCAGGTGGTCCATTGATAGTAACTGGGAGAGATCCCTCCCACTCTGAATTTTGTATTAAAGATGACCAAATTCAACGGTTCTACAATCACTGATTTAATTTAACGCACAGTGAAAGTCTGATGTTGTGTTTCTCTATAGAACCTATTGGGCTATTTCCACAGTGGTTCTGAAAGCTTTAGTGGAGACGCCTGTGAAGTGAAGGTGGCAGCCCCCTCCCTCTCGCCGAGTGCTGAGGCTGAATATTGGAGAATCAGAGCCATGGCACAACAGGTAGAGACTGATATTTCAGTGAAAGTTGGAGAAGCCTTTCAACTTGGGGTTTTTCTTTGAGTACATTTTTAGCACAGCTGTCCTCAAACCCTATGAGCAAATCAAATGAGACTTCTTCATCACTAGGCTATCATGTATCTAACAGTAGTAGTGAGAAAAAGTAATGAAAACTAGAAACAAAAACATTAAAACTTACCCTCTAAGTGGCTTGGCTCGGGGTAGATGCATAGGCATTTGATCAGTATTACAAGCCTGTTATGTAGTATAGCTTTAAAAAAGGCAGTACTAACATAAATCAGTGGAAACCTTTCTGACAGAAAAAGGGAAATGGCATCACAATGAATACTCATCTAGAACATCATATGCATTTCTGACTATTTTGTTAAATAGTGATTAATTCAAAAAGCAAGAAAAATAAATTAGGACACTGTGATATTACACTAGAAAAACTAGGTTTGTTCAACTTCTCAAATCAAAGTTTGAAGAGCAGTATACATTTTTTTGTGTGTCTATAAGTACATGGGTATAGATTGGAGAGAAGAAAGTTATTAAGAATTAGAAGGTAACGATGACATTGAACTAATGATTTAAAAATCATCACTAACTGCTAATCAACTAAGTAGTCTGGGAGAAAACCTTCTCAGGGTTCTTTTGTCTACAGTGAATGTTGTTCATTTTGAGAAAGTGTTTGTGTGAAACAAGCTCCTTAAAATACAACAAACTGGACTTAATGACCTGAGTCATTATATGGCAATTTCTGCATGGGTAAGCAACTGGATTAAAAGAGCCAACAGATGTTTAGTGTCAGTTTCTGACTTAATCATATCCTTAATCATATCCTGATGCTGCTTGAAAATCTGAGATGTCTCAGATGTTCAGGATTTGTGATCACAAACAACATGGCAGTGGCAGATATTGTTTGAACAGAAAAAGTGTTTTAAAACTAAATTTCTAGAGAGGCAAAGCTCATAAAGTAAGAAATGGAGCAGTTAGGCTTCTCTAAGAGACATCCCTCAGAGGAATTGCCTGAGTTCCTCTCAGCGAGGATTTGACACATCAACTAAGCTATGAAACAAAGCTACAGCAGTGAGAGTTGTTTTCCTACTTCCCTTCCAAGTAACTACAAACCAGGTGTCCATTGTCTCCTTGTGGCTGAAAACCATCCTTCCAATAACAAACCTTTCAAGGAGGAATGGGCTAACTGTGTAAGCAGGTCTTTGCTATACATGGTACTTACAGGTAGTAGCTTCCTTTCATCACTGTAAAAAAAAAAGTTGTCATAGATCTTTCACAATTCATGAAATTCTGCTGTCAGGCCCTTCATGGACCCATTAGACATGCTAACCCTAATTGTTTTATGTAATTTGTCATTTTCTAGGTCTTCATGCTGGAGACTCAGTGCTCCCCAAAGACCCCTAGCAACAAGGAGGGATTCGAACATGCCCAGTCGTGTGTGCTCGTCATTGACCTGCCACCAGATAAGAAACCAAATGGGCATACCCAGAGAAGGTAAAATATCTCAGGAGTTGTTAAAAACAAGGTAAAATTATTGTCAGAGATGGGAACAGAGGCTGTGCCTTTCTACAGGTCTCTTCAAAAAAAAAAAAAAAAAGCTTCTAATAGATAGTAAGAGTTGGTAGGTTGCAAGTGCCTGAAGAAGGTGACACAAAGCTTTAAAGTAAAGGAAAGTAGATGAAACTAGGAAAATAATTCTCATGGGAAATATTAGGAAAACCTTTCTCACACTGAGATGTTTTTTCTTAGAGGTGTAAAAATACCAGTTTGAAGAAAGCTTTCAAAGTGCTGTTACATTTGTAGTGATACCTAGCAAACGAAATAATTTCTGCTACTCTTACTGGTCTTTTAAATTCAGTATTATTGGATTAAGAAGGTTGAAATGGGTTAATGGGTAATTGGAGCAGTATATAGAGGCTGCATGAAAATCTGTAAAAGCTGTCAACATGCTAATCTAGGGAACTTTTGTTTTTGCTTGGCACTTTTTATTTTTAAAGAAAACCTTTTATATTTTACCACCTCAGAAAACCACGTGTCTGCATGACTCTTAGTCTTATCCTGCCAAAGAAAATTTCTCTTCACTTGCACTTGGTTGTTTGAATAACCATGATAGTATCACAAGGCCAAGAATCAGTGCTACATTCAGGGTTTGTGTTTATATTGCAAGGTATTTAATACATTATGTAAAACAGTCTTATACCAGCTACCAAACCTGCTTCTGGACCACTTCATGCATTCTCATTCAAAACTGAATAGTTCAGTTTTGTAACCAGGAGTCAGAATGCGATGGCCTTCTGTAGTTGGTCAGGAGGAAGGACCATGCAAGCAAGAAGTTAGTCTTTAAATAAATACAGCTTGCAATTAATACAAACTCTGAATGATCTCATACTGCTCTTTGTCTAACTGCAAATGCATATTCCCTTATGGGGAAATATTACCCAGCAATACTCATTTTTTGCCAAAACAGGACTGAAAAGTTGACTGTGTCACCACTTTTCATATTACTTGCTAGCAGCACAGTAATATGCCAGTCTTGCACGCTAGTTAACTGTGGCCTTTGAAGTTTTACTTTAACCTTAGTGGAGTTTTCTCTTTTCCTTTTTGCTTTTGTTTCCCTGATGCTGCATCGTTTCACAGGAAGCTGGGGTAAGGGAGCTCTTCCTCCTAAAAAGTAGTCAGAATAAGAAAATAGTGTCCTTAACCAGCTTTGGCATCGTGTTTTCACCTATAGTTCTGTTCTAGTTTTTTGGTTTTTGTCGTTGTTGTTTTGTTGTTCATTTTAAAATTGACTAGTACTTTAAATTGTCCTTGTAAGTTGCCTTAATGGCTGTTATAAAAAAGCAGACCTCCTTCATACTGCTCCTGCTTTTGGAATGGGGTTAGTCTCTCGAAATAAGTAAACGTTTAATTCTATATGCACTCTTAAGAGCTTTTCTGAGTCAGAGCCTTTAATGATTTTTTTACAGCAGAAAACTACTTCCCCTCAAGGAGCTCCAGTGTATGTGTTAATCATCAAGATTGTACTGCTGTCAGATAATAAGACTTAATTTTAACCGCCATATCAGCACTGGCAGCTACAGCTATAGTAAGTGAGCAAGCTGACATAGATAAGCTAACCCTAGAAGCACTGTTCTTTCTGACCTATGGCTTCTATGTATGTCAGGCCCTCAAAAGTCTCAGGACTGTCTGTTTTAGTTTAGTTGTGTTTTTTTTTCTTTTTTTAAAATCAGGACCATGTGTTTGACTTTTCCAATCAATTAACATAAGGATAAGATTTTTAGAGGTCTCAAATTGAGCATCTTAAGTTACCTGAAAGTTTACTTTAACTTAGACTTAAAACTTCAGTATTGCAAGCAGAGTGAAAAGTCTTTTCCTCACCTGGCAATAATGCTACTTAAACTGTGATCCCTCACAGTTTCCAGTTCCCTAAATCTAAACAAGTACGTACAACGCATCTACTCTATTTGAAATATCACAGCTTTCATCTGATGCAGACTTGTTTATAATTACTAACTTAAGATGGGCTTCACAGTTTATAATTTTGTGAGCTGCCAATGTTTTGCTTTAACTATAATCCAACCCACTTCTTAACCTCCCCTGCCTGTAAGCCTGCCAATTATTAGTGAATTACCTGAAAACTTCATCTGGGAGAGGTTGCCATTCATATGTTCCCTGTGCAAATAAAATCAGTGAGATCTAGAACTGCTCACAACATCCAGCAGGAGGGAATCACCCAGTATTGCATGTAAGAAACAGGGCTAAGACCTCAGTAGTCAAGCTGAAATCATAAGCGCAAACACTCACCAGGACTTAAGCTTCTTTGCATGTTCCATTGCACTGCTGATGAATTTGAAGGTTTTTTTTTTGTTGGTTGGTTCTCTGCATTTTATTTTTGAGATATACCACTGACGTTATTGGAAATGGAAAGCAAATGGCAAACCAGCTTAAGCCTCAATTTGTCATGGCAAAGTTGAGGTTTGCTGAAATGCCAGTGGAGAAGTTTTAAGAGCAATTCTTAGCTTTGAGTTCAGTAACAGCAAAAATAGAAGATGTACTTAGGATCCAAGGGCAAAAGTGCTGAATAATTTGTGTTTAAAAAATTACTTAATTATAGCAGTATGAAAATACTAAGGGTACCTGTAGCTATAGTATGATATATATATTTTATATATCTATAAAATACACAATAGAGCTTTTTTTAATACTGCCTCTGCAAAGTTCCATTAATGCTTTTGCTATGGTCAGTTATTTTATTTAATGCATGGAAGCATCATCCCTTCCAGGAAGGCTGAAAGACCATTCTAGATAACTTCACCTTCGTTCAATTCTTTGTAACAAGGCTCTTAAATTTTGGCCTTTAACACATATCCTTCATATTAGATTCTAAAACATGAAATACTGGCAGACTTGTAGTAAAAATGTAACATACAATTATATTTCTTTTTCCTTCCTATACTTGGTTTACCAAGTATTCCTTTTAGGACGATAGTGGTGAGCTTGCTGTCACACCAAGTACTGCTCCAGAATTTATATGACATCTTACTGGAAGAATTTGTTAAAGGCCCTTCTAACCTAGAGGAGAAAATGACAATACAAGTACCAGAAAACAAGTTGGCTGGTTTTCTCAGGTACATCTCCATGCAAAACTTGGCTGTCATCTTTGACTTACTGCTGGACTCCTATAGAACAGCCAGAGAGTTTGACACCAGGCCCGGGCTGAAGTGCTTGCTAAAAAAAGTGTCTGGCATTAGTGGAGCTGCCAACCTGTATCGCCAGTCAGCAATGAGCTTCAATATTTACTTCCATGCTTTGATTTGTGCTATCCTGACAAACCAGGAGAACATCACTGCAGAGCAAGTGAAGAAGATCCTCTTTGAGGACGATGAGAGAAGCACTGACTCATCACAACAGTGCTCTTCAGAAGATGAAGACATTTTTGAAGAAACTGCCCAGGTCAGTCCTCCTCGGGGAAAAGAGAAGAGACAGTGGAGGGCTCGAATACCATCTCTGAGTGTACAGCCTGTCAGCAATGCAGACTGGGGATGGCTGATCAAGCGGCTTCATAAGCTCTGCATGGAACTGTGCAACAACTATATCCAGATGCACCTAGACCTGGAGAATAACACAGAGGAGCCTCCAGTGTTCAAAGGCGACCCGTTCTTCATTTTACCATCCTTTCATTCAGAAACCTCCACCCCATCAACTGGAGGGCAGTCTGGAAAGGACACTCCATCAGAAGATGACCGGAGTCAAATAAGGGACCAACTGGGAGACAGCCTAACACCACGAAGTGGAGAAATGCTGCTACTACCCCCACTCTCAAGTCCTAAACCAGAGAAAAAAGAACAAAACAGGAAAAAAGAATGGTGGGAGAGTGCTGGCAACAAGATCTACACCATAGCCACTGACAAAACCATTTCTAAGTTCATGACAGAATACAAAAAAAGAAAGCAGCAGCAGCAGGCTGTGACATCCTTCACCAAAGAGGTCAAAGTGGAAAAGAAAGGGGAGCTCCTGGGCTCCAGAGGGCAGGACTCACCCATACTCCAGAGGCCACAACATCTTATAGACCAAGGTCAAATGAGGCATTCATTCAGTGCTGGCCCAGAGATTCTAAGACAAGAGAAGAGACCACGCTCAGGATCCACAGTCAGCTCCCTGAATATATCTGTCAGGGATGCAGAGGCCCAGATACAGGTAGGACACTTAAAGAATGCTAATAATGGCAATAATTTAAAATATATCTAAAGTATTTTTTCTGTTGCTTTTATCACAATAATAACAGTCTCTTCATAAGATGTCTACCTTACCTAAATAAATCATCATGATGAGGATTGAATATTTCAGCAGCTGGCACTGGAAAAACCTTATTCTGTTCCATCAAAAGAAAATCAATCTTATGGGAAGATGTTATCAGGTATATACCAGTACAGTTTCCAAGAGTTTTTCTGTGATTGAGGCCAAAACTGCACTTTCCTAAAAACAACCAACAATGAACTCTGCTTACTGCTATGGGCTCCAGCCTACTGAGGGCTTTTGAAAATGTGAGGGTACTTGGTGTAATGCTTTTTTATTTAATAAGCTTTTTGTTAATTCCAAAGCAGAGTGGGCCCTGTTACTAAATAGGAACTTATTTGTATATCTGAGTAATCAAATCAGCAAAAGCATTAAATCTTTGTTCGGTGTGGGATGAAATAATAGGTGATGAAGAGTGATCTTGATACATGAAATACAAAGTCAAACAGCAACATACAGTACTGAATTGTGCAGTCAACAATAAATTAATATGCTGGTATTGCTGAGCCTTCTTCATGAAGCTGCAGTGATAAGATGCCTTTTCTGTCTAATCTGATAGACTTCTCTATATAGAAAGGTATTCTGAAGAGTCTTTTTTTTTTTTTATCCAATTTCATAGGCATGGACGAACATGGTGCTGACAGTTCTCAGCCAGATTCAGGCTCTACCAGACCAAACTTTCACAGCCCTCCAGCCAGCAGTGTTCCCATGTATCAGCCAGCTGACCTGTCATGTGACTGATATCCGTGTTCGTCAGGCAGTACGGGAATGGCTGGGAAGAGTGGGCCGTGTGTACGATATCATCATTTAAACTAGCTGTGCTCTGTTGCAAAGGGGAGAAGACAGCCAGGATATACAGCAAAGGGGTATTTGGGGTTCATTAACTGCCTGTTTGTTGGTGATAAATTAAGAAACAACGAGCTTGTTGATATATTTCCCCTATCCACTTGAGACTGTGTTCCTCACACATACTTGCAGAGCAGGTGATGCATGAATGTGTCCGGGGGCATGGAATGACCCCAGAATCTGCCAGTAAATCAGACTGGTATCTAAAGTCAAAATACATTTCAGTAACCTTCATTTAGATTCAAATTTACAGCAGCAGGAGTCACATCAAATTCTAGGTAAACATCCACACTTGTAATTAGCTATGAATGGAACCATCAAACCAGGCAAGCAAGACCTATATAACAAAACATAAATAAAAAGGTGGCACTTGTTCAGAGTAACTTTTTCCATTCCGAAATTGGCATGAGAGGAAAGCCAAATAAAGATTATTACAGTACTATATGCCTTGCTAATTGAAGAAAGTTGAAATTTATTTTGCTCTGAGAAGAGCCTTTGAAATCTGGTGATATTCAGAGTAGCAAGTGAGTGATTGTTAAAGTATCCCAGGTCTTAAACTGGTGAACCAAACACAGGCTATTTGTCCTTTCATTACCCTTTGAAGTAATGCTTGGGGAAAAAAGGCACTGTCAACCTGCCTTCTCTACAGCATCACTCTGGCTACTTCAGCTATGACCACAGGTGGTCATTTTTCCACATATATAATTTCTCCAAAAGGCTACAGGAAGTTTGTTTTGCTGTTTTCTCTGAAGCTAGAGGGGAAAACACACCACAGAGCAAAGCTACAGCCAGTCTGCATGCCAGTATCCAGCACTCACAACACAGTGAAGTGTTCCTCCAGTTCAAGCAACACTGCAGCTAAGCTGACTTTAGCATCTATTCTAACTACTGCAGTCAGGACCCTTACACTAAATTTAGCCTATCACTCTATGTTGAAGTTCATCAAGATGGAAAATAGCCTAAAAAGAATGTAACTAACCTTTCTGCTTCTCTCCCCTTTCTCATCTGCTGTAGTAAACAGGGAACAGAGTCTTATGTAGGTACATACTCCCTCTGTGCAGTGCTTCTATAAGGACTACTACAATCTGCCAATATTATTAGCGGGGGAGAGGTGGAAGGATTGACTACTGTACTGTCAAATATTCACACTGGACACAGTGAAGGGTTACTTTTGCTTCACAAAGTATGTGACAGGGACTTGTACTCCTATACTACATCATTTGTTGATTAGATGTTTAAGTAATTCATCAGAACTAATTTAATCTTGGGTGATCCCTTAATGATGTTCTTCCAAGACTTTTTAAATGTTCATACCAACTAAATATACATCTTTGGTCCCTGCATCCTCAAAAAATATCATCTTTTTACATCAGTCCTGGACTTTGCTCAACTGTTTTTAGCATCTTGAACCTAAAAAAATAGAGGGTCAGTTAAAAAAAAAAAAAAAAAAAAAAAAAAAAAATGTGCTGAATAGCCTTCACCCCAGCTGATGCATTTACTACGAATCTGTCACTGTCATCCTGCCTTTGCCCTCCATCACCCACTCCCCATTTGCCAACTGCTAGATTTGTGTGTGAGGCATACTTTGTCCTGTACCATTCTGCAGTGTCTGTCACACTGTTTCTCTTATTATCAGAACTCTACTTGCAGAATTATTCCAGGAACATCAAAAATTCCATAAAAACAACTCCTTACCATGCACACTGACTTGAAACATAAGTAATTTAATAATAGTATCAAATGTCAGTTTTCCCAACAGTTGTAATACTTCCTTGGGGACAGGTGAGATTATATTCCAAGCCCTTAGCATAGTGTTAGATTTCTGTTGCCATGTTTTTCTTACACATCTTTAGGTTGAGTAAAAAAGGTGGCTATATATTTTTTTTATCTTTTTATTTGGTATCTATACAGAACTGCTTTTAAGGCAGGATGTTAATTAGGCAATAGCCAGAATCAGAATAAACACCTGCATGCAAGGGCACTCAAATGTGCTATTTTTCATTATACATTCATTTCAGGGATTGAGATTTTCACTGTGCTTACCCAAAACTAAAGCAAATCCTTAATTTATGTTGGAGAAGTAAAACAGATAGCAGTACCAAGGGAGTCACTCAGGATTCCAGAATGGGGCCAGTTGTTTAGGAAACACCATGGTTCCATACTGTCTGTAAATCAGAAAGAGAAGCTCTAGGAATGAACATGACTGCCCCCAGCCAAGCACCTGAACACAGCCCAGCCCAGCATTACCTGCTTAGCAAGCTGCTCAACCAAAGCACTGCTGTACTGCAATGCATTTTAAACTTCTCCTTCCAAATTATACACTAAGTGCCCATTGTCACCCTTAGTGCCTCTCTTTGCCCATACCCCTCCCTTAGGAAACCATCTAAGGGCATAAGTAACTGCATCATTCCAGAAATACCATCTAAAAGCATGGGAGGAGCACAAAGGAATCTTTGTGGCAGCAGGCTTTAGGTGAGCAATCTTTAACAGGTGTTGCTCTTCCTTTTCCTTCTGTGCAAAATGGTAAGCAGATGAGGACAGCTAACCACCACTTCAGGAGCTATTAGTCTGAGAGCAACATGTGGAGTTGGTTCATCAGGCTTTTTTTTTTTTTTGCTAGTTTAGCCATAGACATTAGCAAGCCCCAAAGTAGCAAAATGCTGAGTGTGAAGTCACCATTTTGTAGGCCTGTGTGCTTTGCTCCATTCATTCTTCGGACCACTTGGTCTAAAGCTGCCAGCTCAGTGCTTGCAGGCCTCACAGTGCAAGCTTCATGCCCAGAGAAGGAACTTGCACAGAATGGTCCCAGGGAAGAGTATTGGCACTAGCCCCTAGCTCTGACCACCCCAACACATCCAGCAGTGCAAAGCACCCCTCCCTGCATCTCCCTCACATAACACATTCCAATTCTTATAGCCTTGTAGCCCACTGTGCAAGGTAACAGCAGCATAGAACCAACTACTGTTGAATCAGAACATTTATCTCCTGGTTAACATGCTTTCATCAGGACGTTAGGATTTAATTCTCTCCTAGAATAGGCATTTATCATAACTGATTTCATTCAGCATCCAGACAAAATTATTAGGGAAAGGGTTACATAGACCTGGGCAGAACTTTTTCTTGTAAAATGCCAAACACAGCTTTTGTCTCATCACAGATAAAACAATACACTACATCTGGAGTATAGCTGGCTTCTGTGGAGGACAAGCAGAGTTTTCACCCATGGTTTGACCCAGCAAGGTACTTTGTCTTGAATTTGAGCTTCAAGTTCTCTTTACTGTAAAATTCACCAATGAGTTCTCATTTGTCCAAGAGGTAATTCCCACCTCTGAATACCCCATGTTACCTTATGTAATCTCCATTTGCTCTGAATATAGTGGTATCTCAGTGCTGGTATCTCCACTTCAGAACTCAGCGCAGGACCAGTATGAAACTTGAGTGTCAAACAGGCTAACAAGTAGAGAGGTCCAGCTGTGTGTGCTGCCTGCATTTGCCATCTCCTGCTACAGCTTAGGCCCGCTCTCAGACTGCCCAAGCCATTGTTATTAGTGGGAATATTTATACTCTGGACTCAGTCCTTGAATCCTTCAATTCTTGCATACAAGTCAACAAGTTCTCAGGAAGGGGAAAGTCCTGTATAGTTCCTGCTATCTGTTGTGGCCCCTTATACACCTCATTCCTGGAATTCCACAAAAAAACAGCACACATTCCCGTGCGTCAAAGTGCTCCCAGACTAAAACTAGAACCTTCGCTCTTGCACAGATCCAGTTTTAATGTGCAAGAAGCCAACCATAGCAAGCCTTCATTTCTAACCAGCTCTTGTATACAAGCTTAGTTGGAAACTGAGCGTGCAGAATTTAGCCATTTTCACTTTTAGCAATTAGAAGTGCTATTAGTCAATGATAAATTGTTTTTAATTTAACAAATTCAACCAATTCTTCCCTTCCCATATCTTATTTCTGTGAGGGTATGATAAGATTATGCTTAAGCAAGCAATTTAATCAATATTCTGGTTATAATCACTTCTGGGAAGATCTGTTTATAGTAGTAAGCATGGCATATGAAATTAGACAAATAGATTCTCTTTTTCCTCAATGTCTGATAACTCCGCAATTCTTTAAAGAAATGATGCAATACCATCAATTTAAAATATATATATATACCTTCTCCTTCAGTATAAAAGGACCAACTTACCACAGCACAGAAGCACAAATGTTGGATTTTATGCAATGTAGATAACATCTGGCAGCTACTGACCCCTCTTCTCTGAGTCTCCCCATTTTGAGCAGAGCTTCTGTAGGGATACAACATAAGGGTCTATCAGCAGCACTCACCAGCAACATGCCTGGCTCTCCAGGAAGTTGTACAGTTGCATGGAAGAAATCTCACCTCCTCTTTGTTTTATCTCCACTACTGCCCCTTTATATGTGATGCTAACTACAGTTTCATTTCATACTAAACAGCTTTGGACAAACATGACAGTCTGGCTATTTAAAAAGAAAATAACAAAGCACCTAGCATAAGTATGCACTGTTCTTTTCACTTAATGCTGAGAGGTCCAAGACAAGAACCAGAAGCAGAGAACAGGGGAAATGCCCTAATTCTGACTATGGATATCAGTGGAGCTACGCTGCATGATCCTGGATTAATGCAATAATGAGCTTGCCTGTGGGACCAGATCCCTCAAATCCTCTTTATTTTTGGCAAATTCACAAGCAAAGGTTTGCTTACTCGCCCCTGCCACAGCATTTCAGGGAACTGGGGTTATGGAAGGCTTTCTTTGTTAACAAAAAGTGGCAGGAGGATCTATTTCAATTCTTGCAACTCAACATCCCACTTATCAAAAAGTAGTTACATACTTCCACCTATGGAGCATTAAGGACTTATTCCTTATTTTCTTTCCACACCTTCGCTTAGCATAGTCTGTGGTGAAATACCATACTTCCCCAGGAAGCAAAGGGAAGCAGGAGAGCTGCAGGGACAAATACCACCTCCCCAGTCAGGCCATGGCTGCTGAGCCCCCAGATCTGTGGAAGAAAGCATGATTTGATACCAAAGTGAGAGCAGCCAGGAAGGGCCAAGCCATGTGGTAGCAGAGCCCTGCGCTGCACATCATTTCAAGGAGCAGATGGACAAGAGGTGTGAAAGTATGAAGTGACAGCAGGGAGCAACTTCATTTAGTTCCCCTCACCTTCCCCTTCCCCACCTCCATTTTTGTCATTATTTATGATACCGCAAATTTACTCCATGGGCCCTCTGACCAGAGCTGAAAACTGATAGAAAGCCAAAGGGAGTAGACACTCCATTTTGCCAAAGATCTGATTATTCCTATTCCAAAATAAAAAGCAAATTCTATTTCCATGATGATGGCTGCCATAGAAAGCATTTTATTACAAAGCATTATTCCCAGGATTTCATCTCTATAACTGTATATTCAGGAGGAGCCACAAATGTTTTTAAAGAGAGACTATAAATGTCTAGAGTTCTTACGCTGGATTTACCTTCTACGGAGTTCATACCAAGCTGCAGTTCCCCAGTTTGATTCATGTTTCCTCCCTCTACCTTTCTCCTTTAGAATAACACCTTCCTGTATCTGCTGCGTTCCGTTGTGCTGCTTTGTTTGGTTCTTCAGTGTCCATTGGTCAGGAAGTCACTGTAAGCTGGCTTGCAAATTGTATTTTGTGTATATTTTGTTCAGACTGAATTCTGAAATGGAAATATTTTAAAACAAAAAAATTAAAAACTATTTATGTTGCTTGTGTTGTAGAATAAAGAAGCAAATGCAAAATAATCTGGTGTTTGTTTTGTCTAAAGGTAGTTATTTTCCAGTTTGTAGTCAAGCAAAACGTTGCAGCACTGAGGACTGAAATGCTGCAGGACTGCAGCTTTCACAGGTGGCCTGGGGAGCTCAGTGGCTTGGAACTGATATTGGGTTTTATTTTTCGAGGAGAGCTGAGATCTACACAGTGTAACAAATGACCCTACACCACTCCACACCAGAGTTTGGGCTGGGAAAGAGCAGGGGGTGAGGAAAAAGAAGGATTAAGACCGAGATATCTAGAAAGTTCAAGTAGAACGTGTGGAATTTCGCAAAACAAGTGATTTCACCCCTCATTAATTAATAACTAGCAAAAATACTTCTGGCTGTGATTCCATTGGAGATGGTATTTTTGGAGAAAAAGGAAACAAAGCAAAACACTATAGCAGAAAGGACATTACTTTCCTTCATAGTTGTAACCTTTGGGGCTGAACTCTTAACGTCCCACTTACACACAGACATACACCACTTTACTACCACTGAAGTCCAGACAGTGCTTCTCCCCTGCTCCGTGCTCCCAGTGTCAAAGCTGCTGTAGATACACCAGGGACAAGCAGAGATCCACAGAGCATCATTTCTCAGCCAAATGGTGCTGGGTTTGCAAGCCAGACACTCCCCAGCCATATTTCCCTCTAACGCAGAGTATAGCTGGCAATCAAAGTGTTCCCATGCTAGAAGTGCAGCCCAACAGCAAGAACTATGCAATGCTTCCCTCCTTGTCACAGCTATGCTAAGCCACCCTCTGGCACCCAAATCTCTCATTCTGACCCAAGTTGGATCAGTAGTTTCTCCTGTTTAGTTTGAAGGAATCATTACGTGAAAGCATGTCCTGCCCAATCACCATGCAGACTTTCAAATGCAAACAAAATGCAGTTACAGAGAAAGCAATTGTCAACCAGGACTCTAAAAGAGAAGGGTTATGGTGCTTTCTGAAAGCAGGAGTCCTTCAGTGACAAGACAACAGTCCATGTAACATTTATGGTACACTCCTGTACACCTGTGGCTTTCCATAGGGTCTCAAGAGTGAAAATTCAGCTGCCAGCTATCCCACTAAGGCTTACTGCCATCTCCAGACACAGCCACGTGGAATCAGAGCTTGAACCTCCATGGTCAGATTCCTGTTGTTACTCCAACCTGCTAACTACATTAAAAAGCCAGTAAGGGGCATCCGCTCACGCAAACATCTCACCTCTGTCCCTCTAAACAGATATTTCCTTTGACTATCCCCATCATAATATTACTCTCAGCAGTAACTTAAGCACTGAAGCAACACAAGCTCTGGCCTTCAATGTTTGTTACACAACAACCCCATCAGGAGGAAGGTTAAAAGAGATGTATTAGAGCAGATTACAAAGCAACTAAATGAAGCTGTGATGCTTTGATAGCCTTACAGCAATTTCTGGTGAAACAAGAGTGTTAAATCCCAACAGTCTGATCTAATTTCATTCCAGGAAACTACCTTCTGCTGCTCTACATATCTCACTTAGATACCATTCAAAAGATTTTCTTTTCCTCCTAAATAGCACTGTTTAATGTAAAACAGCAGCTGGGTACATACAGAAAATACCATTCCACTATTTCCTTAACTCTTGACATGTATGAGGTCCTGTCTGTATTCTCAGAGTGGGATCAGATCAGCCTGGCTTCTGCTGCCACTGGGTGGGAGAGGTCGACATATGGTACAAGTTGTGAAGTTTATTTGTAGTTGCATTGATAAGACACTTCTATTTCTTTCATTTGTTGGCTCACCAAAGAAAACAGCCGTCATCAAATATATATATATTTATATATATATATATTTATATATATATATAATTTAAATATGTAATTATTATTTTTTTAAAAGCCAACTGAATCTCAAGTTTTCTCTCTCCTTCAGTGGAATCACCAAACTCATCCACTAGACTCCTGAGCAAGGTACAAGAAAGGCAGTGACCACTGAGTGCACTGTTATGTAGGCAAAATTCAACAGATTGCATTTGGTACAGTTAATTAACTGGTGGGGAGACATTCCCATAGGAGCTTTCACCAAACATGTTCATCAGCAAAAATAGATAATGGTTCAGTTTTAACAGGCTAATTTTTAGGTATAGGAAGGTCAACTCTTCCAAATCCATCTACAGGCCAGCAAGAGACAGTCACCTTAAAGGCTCAGAGGAGGAAAAACTGCCACCAAACCATACAGACTCGCACATTCCTTCAGTAGCTTTGGTAAAGCTCTCCTTTCTCTGCCATAACAAGCAGATTGATCTTTCTTTTGGTCCACTGAATATGCCCAAGAAGGAGGTAGAAACAAAAGGTAGAATCAGGCTTGGGTACTGTCAGTTGAACCACGTGAAACAGGTGATCTCCAATTTCTAAGCTTTTGGCAAAGAAGGTAGCACCAGGATAAACCTCTTCACATCTAATATTTAATAACACTGTTAACAACAAAGTTGAAATCTTTATCCAAATGGCTGATATGACGTCCTAGAACAGTGCACTCAGCATCCAGATTTCAAAACTCAAAGAATCCCAAACAAATCAAAGCCAGGCTGTACGCACCATTTTCTGGCTCCTCATAAAAAAAACTGTGAGAATAAATCCATTTGTTTTGTTCTGCTTTGTTTTGGCTTGGTTTTGATTGTTCAGGGGACTTTGTTTGTTGAGGGAAGCTGTTTTGAAACTGATAGATATGCACCCTTGAAGTAGAGACAATACCTATGGATCACCATCTCTAAGGAAACATGGTGAAGCTGTTTGTTTGTTTGCTGTGGTTAGCATCAGCATCTAAGGAGGTGTCAACATCCTCATCTCCCAGCACAGTCAAATAAAATAACTAAAACTTAAAATAGTTTAGAATATATATTCAAGATAGCATTTCTCAATTACTTCCTTTACTACATTTTTGACCATCACATTACATTTCTGGCCTTTTTTTTTTTTTTTGTACGTCAAATCAGAATCTCCTTTGTGCCAGAGACTATGAGGACACCAACAGGCTAAAAACATGCTGTATTTAAATCTGTCCCTGTAAGTATGCCCAGAAGGTCAGAAAGAGACAAACCTTCAAGCTTGGGAAATGAGAATGTCAGACATAATGAGAAAGTGAAAAATGGTTTTGTAAATGCATTGCAGTAACTTGCGTAAGGAGAGGAGGGTGATGAGGCTCTTGTTTGGTTTGAAACCCTTACCTGCAAAAGCAATTAATTTTCTCTTGAGAAAACATGGGAAGATGTTTCTATGTAGAGATGCAATGATTGTGCATAAAAGCAAGGAGGAAGTTTGTGTGCCCTGATAAAAACGTTCTTTCCAAGTCCCAGCTGCAGGGGTGTTCATCAGAGCAGATCTTAATTCTCCCCCTCACACAATTCCTTCCCTTTTAAAAGGACACTAAATAATTGAAGATCTCAATTCAGGCTCTTGTGACCAGCCTCAAGCCCAGGAGAGTAAAGATTATTAGTTTGCAAAGCCAATCACAGGGAAAAGAAGAAAAAATGGAAAGTTAAAATCTAGTTTACTAATATGCTTTTTTCTTGCAAACTTCCAATCAAATCATAGAATCAGAGAACGGCCTGGGCTGGAAAGGACCTCAAAGATCATGTAGTTTCAACCCCCCTGCTGTAGGCAGGGTCACCAACCACCAGACCAGGCTGCCCAGAGACACATCCAGCCTGGCCTTGAATGCCAGGTATGGGGCATCCATAACCTCCTTGGGCAACCTGTTCCAGTGCGTCACCACCCTCAGGGTGAAAAACTTCCTCCTAATATCTAACCTAAACCTCCCATCTCAGCTTAAAACCATTCCCCCTTACCCAAATCTCCTTTAGTATTTCATGGGAACAAAAGCAGTGAGAACAATGAAAAGGAAATGCAGCATAACAGCCTGCCACAGGATGTTTTAGGCAGAGCTGTGCTGAGCATAGGACAAGAAGGATGACCACCATTAGGTGTGGATCTCTGGTAGCACCTCCTTATCTTCCTTCCCTGCTGTGCTCACAGACTACAGAGCACTGACTGCTGAAGTAAGACAGAGAAAGAGGATGATGGGTCACACCAAATGTTACACTGCGTCATTTCTGTCTATTTTTCACATCTCCTGCTTGAGTATGAACCCTGATTAATGAACTGTATTGAATGGGCAAGTATCCCTTTCAATGAGGCATCATCCTCCATAGGTGAAAAGTAATGTTTGGAGCCAAATGAAGCAAAAAACTGAGCTGAAACAGCAATACACAACGCCTCTAACCAGTCAGGTTCAGTTGTGCCTATACAGCCCAACCCCATTGTAAGAGCTCACCTTTGCAGGCCCAGTAATCCTCTCTTTCCCCCAGCAGATGCCTGGTTCCTCTTCCATAAAACACCCTGATACCTTGAGAGATTCAGACCTGGACAAAGGATGAGATTTCCATTTTGCAGTAGAGGTTACATACCTGCCTAAGTAGCTGACTCAGCACACCACTGCCCCAGGTAGAATCTATCTTCCACATTATCTTGGACCCAAGCCTTCACCACTGTGCATCTCAAAAGCCACCCATTTACATACAAGGCTATCCACACTGAACAATGGTTCTCGGCACCTTCCCAGACTTCCCAATTATTTTTAACTTGTAATTACTTCCCTCCGAACATTTAGACATCAATCGTACAAAATACGCATTATGCTGTGAGGTGCCTCCTGCACTTGAGGGGACACCCAGGAAGGACACCTCTCTAAGAGTCCCTCTTCTCTCCTCCCAGTTGACTGGTGAGGAAAATTTTCCCTTTTTGTTCTCAGGTTGTTTTGTTTTGTTTTGTTTTGTTTTTGTTGTTGTTGTTTTGTTTTGTTTTTGGTTTTTGTTTTTTTTGTTTTGTTTTTTTGTTTTTTTCCCCCCTGTCCCTTTAGGTAGCATTGAGGTCAGTATGCCACCAGCCCTGATTGTAAAGCTTTGTGCATTTAAGGCTATTGCACCCGCCTTTGTTCAACAAAGGTCACATCCCTGATTTATGGCCTGACTGCAGCTTTGCCCACAAGCCCAACCAACAACTGCACTTGAAAAAAATAAAGCTTTTGCTGTGTCTTTAGATTTGCCATTTTCCTATATATAAGATTTTCTTCACATATTTCTATAGCAAACTTTATCTTACAGGCTGCAGGGGACTGTGCACTTTCCCCATAAGCTGTAAGTAGGAGTCTTCAGGCCCAGAACAGATTCATTTTCAGGGTGCAAACTCCAAATTGAAACAGTACATGTGTTACTGCAGAGTTACTGTGTTATTGTGCGCTTCTTGAAACAAAATGTGTGTTATTTCAAGCAAAGCACTGTTCCAGTTCACCTAAATGAAAACTGCGCAAAATTGCCAAAAGCCTTTCATCTGATGCCCCAATAAATAATGCACACTTCAATTCAGAAAGTTTCACGTGGATTCAGAAGTCCGTGGATTGGAATCATTTTCTCTTTCTCCCCGAAGGAAAGCCTTTCCTTGACAGGGCACAAAGTCAAACACTTGTCTAACTCAGTCCAACACAGATGGGATCTGCAGCTTCAAGAAAGCCACTCAACCAGTCATAAAAGGGGGTTAAGGAAAAGCAAGTAACAGTGCCTTCACAGACCCCAAAGCCCATCTACTACTGAACATGAGCCAGCAGCATGTACTTGCTGGAAGGCCAACAGTAACCTAGGCTGCAACAGTAACCAGAATAGAAAGGATGCGGAGCTGTTGGAGCAGGTGCAGAGCAGGGCCACAAAGGTGATCAGAGAGCTGGAGCACCTCTCCTAGGAAGACAGGCTGAAGGAGTTGGGCTTGTTCAACACAGAGAAGACTCCCAGGAGATCCTGCCCCTGTTCTCAGCATTGGTGAAGCCTCACCTCAAGTACTGTGTTCATTTTTGGGCTTCTCAGTACAGAAAGGACATCGAGGTGCTGGAGCAGGTCCAAAGAAGGGCAACAAGGCTTGCGAAAGGCTTGGAGAATATGCCCTATGAGGAGAGTCTGAAGGAACTGGGGCTGTTCAGTCTGGGGAAAAGGAGGCTGAGGGGAGACCTTATTGCTCTCTTTCAATATCTGAAAGGTGATTGCAGAGACAGCAGAGCTGGTCTCTTCTCACTGGCAATAGGACAAGGGGAAATAGCCTTAAGTTGCACCAGGGTAAGTTTAGGTTGGATATCAGAAAAAACATCTTTACAGAAAGGGTTGTTAAACACTGGAATAGGCTCCCCAGGGAGGTGATTGAGTCACCATCCCTGAATGTGCTTAAAAACCATTTGGATGTGGTGCTCAGGGACATGATTGAGCAGAAGGTTATCAGGGTAGTATGGTTAGGTTGTGGTTGTACTCTATGATCTTTAAGGTCTTTTCTAACCAGAGTGATTCTATGACTTCACTGTGATCTCCCAGTACTTGAATGGAGCTTAGAAGCAGGAGGGAGACCAGTATTTTACACAATCTGACAGTGACAAGACAAAGGGTATGGGTTTAAAATAAAGAGGAGATCTAGGGTAGATACTAGGAAGAAATTATTTATTCAGAGGGTGGTGAGGCACAGGCTGCCCAGGGAGATCGTGGCCATCCCACCCCTGGAAGTATTCAAGGCCAGGTTGGAGAGGGATCTGGGAACCCTGATTTGGTGGATGGCAGCCCTGCCCACAGCAGGGGGTTGGGACTGGGAGGGCTTTAAGATCGACTCCAACCCAAGCCGTTTTGTGATTTAGGGCACAATGGATATTCTGCTCCCTATTAATATCAGAGGCAATACAACATAGAGTTACACCCCTTGTCTCTAATATCTCAGCACATCAGAAATAGGAATTATTTATTACCAGATCTTCATTCTGAGAGTTGGGAATGTGCCCATTTTCTGCACTGGCTTCCTAAGAAAGTCTCTCCCTTCTTGAACATTAGAAGTAGTATTAGCAACACTGACCGATAACTATCAACAATCTTATATAAATCTGTAAAAAAAAAAAAAAAAAAACAAAAAACAAAAAAACTTTAAATCACTCAGGTGTTACCATCCCACCTTAACTATTTTCTCCAAGTTGACAGGATCAAAATGAGTCAATGAATTACTTCCAAGAACAAAGGCAGGAGAAAAGAAGAAGGAAAAAAAAAAAAAAGACTGATGCACGCTGAAGTCTGAAGAGCTCCAAAGTTCTTCCTCCTCCACATCTAAAAGCATCAAGCCTGACACCTGGCTGAGAGGCTTGGACTAGAGGATGCTCCTCCCCTGCATCTCCACAGGGAAGCATGCCCAAGCCATGGGCATGAACTCCATGAGAAACAGGTCTCAAGCGATCCACAGAGTTGCTAGAAACCTGTCTGATGTGTTACCACAGCTTCAACATGGAGTAGCAGCACTTGAGTTTTGCACAGGCAGATCTATACAGATGCACTGTATTATAAGCTGCAGACCCCCTGGCAGCAGAGTGTGTGCTCTCTGTAACCTTCTAACAGGTCCATTGATTGTAAAGCCAGAGAGACAACCATTATTGTTCCTATTATCTGCATGACAAAGGACTATGTTTCCTCAAATTTACACTTGGCCTCAGCTCTACAAAGTTAAACCACTCTTGAAGATGTTCCAGAGGCCAAGAATTCACAGCACGTGGTAAGTTAGGTCAGTTAGCCTTTGAAGTGCACACCTTATTTTGGCTAAAATTTATCAAACAGAGCAATGATACCATAAGCAGACATCATCTTTCTCTTCTCCTCATTATTCATGGCAGTCCCAAAGCAAATTTACAGTAACGTTTTAAAAATAGCATTCATAATCTTAGGGGTTGTATTAAGACCCTAATTAAGATGGTATATGAGCATTTCATGCTTGTACGTGAGATGACAGATTTAAACCACAAGTCTCCCGAAGGAATTTATTTTAACACTGTGGTTTAGGATGGATAGTTTCATTGTTGCTTCCACACAGAGTCCTGGGACACCAAGCAGAGGAATTTGGCTGTCTCAGTGTGACCTGTTGAGTCAGGACCCAGCTGCTCAGAGGACACAGCAGTTCACACCTGGGCTGCCCCGACTGCTCTGAACAAGGTCTACAGTTTTCTGGGACCAGTGACCTCAATACAACTTAAGAATCTTGACCCCCAGATTTTGTATTATCAGACCTGAACAGAAATTTGCTTAAACAGACTGACCTTGAGATGCCATACAATACACACTGCAGTTGAATAGGGTATTACCCACAGCCTCCCTCTGCTCAGTGGAAAAAGAAAAAGACACCGTAGCTATAAGAGTAATGAAGCACTGGAATAGGTTGCCCAAGGAGCTGGTGGATGCCCCATCCCTGGAGAGACTCGAGGTCAGGCTGGAGGGCCTCTGAGCACCCTGATCTATCTGTTGGCGTCCCTGTTTATTGCAGAGGCATTGGACCAGAGGAACTTTGAAGGTCCATTCCAACTCAGACAATTTTATGATTCAACTAACTTCTTTCTCAGTAAGAGTTAAACCCTGAACCACACAGATGAAATATTGCTCCCATTAGAGGTTAATATACATCCCTGACATTTTATTTGCTTGAAGAACACAGCAAAGGCTTCTCACTCAAAACAATCTCTATTTAATAACTCACACCCTAGAAGCCAGTAAGCGAGCTCTGAGTCAAATACACTGACAACTCACTACTGAAAGTGTTCGTATGCTCACAGTGACCAAAGCTGCCCTGGCAGCTTTCTCTCTCTGGATTTACCATTAACATTTGCATTCTCATGCTGCTAAATAATTCAGCATAGCATTTAGCCTTCCGTCCTTGTCTCTCTATGCAGCAGATACTTTCACTGTTTATTGTAGGCATGAGCCACTGGGAACAAAAACCTGCCTAGATCTTTGGTTCTTCTGGCACTCTGTAGCAGACAGGGAACTTTCACTCTTGGTATAGGAGCTTGTTATTATTATTTTGTTGGAAAAGCATTTGTTAGATCCCTAAATATAGGCGGTTATTTATCTGCATGGAGTCAGGACCATGTGGTCTCAGCTTCACATGCAAATTCCCTTTTTAATAATCCTAATGCGGGGAGCCCTCCAATCAGAGCACTATCAGCCACGGGTCCCTGATACCTGATGCCAGCTTTACTGGTAATGTAGGCCACTGAAGCAAATCCACGGAGATTGACTTGGAAGTGAAGAGAGAAGAGGAGATCCGCCTGCTTGGCTTCCTGACACAGGGGTTTCTATTTGTTTTCTCCCTTTGCTCAGGACACAATTTCCACACGATCATTAGTGGAGAGCAGCCCAGCGGGGTCAAGGCTAGGAGGAGGGGACGCAGCCGCAAGCAGTGAAGGAAGGTGGAGGCACAAAGGCAGAAGAGCGGGTGGACGAAAGCATGAAGCAGCTCCTGGACAGCAGCTGGAAGAAATTTGGACACGCTGACAGGGGGAACTACGACTGGCTGAACACTGAACCAGGTGGGCCACTTCTGGAAACAGAGCTCCAGGTCTGTACCTGCCAGCATCTGTGGCACTTCCTTTGACTTTGCATGTGTGTATACATTTGTACAGCGCCTCAGTGTATAGCACAGAGTCAGCGTGGGTGTACTGAGCTGTCAAAGCGGTAATACTCAATTACATAGAGCAAAAGCATGTATGTTCTGTTGTGGTTTTAAATGCATCTGTGGTGAAGGAAAAATCATTAGAAGAAAAATCTTGTCGGAGCAGCTGCTAAATAAGTTTCTTTTAAGCAGAATTCATTGCTCTACTCCTGGATTTCCTTTCTTTTAAATACATGTCTGTGCTTTGGGTCTGGTCCCATGAAGCCTTTCTGCAGATGTTAAGAGTGAGTATCAGGCGACGATGAACTCTTGTTCTCTAAGCTGCACACTGATTACTTCTGAGAGAGGATAACAGGCAGGCGAGTGGGGAGGAGGGGAGGGAGTAGCTGTCAGAGTGGAAAACACAGCCTGCCTGCTTGTGCTTCTGTGTGCTTTTGTGTAGGGAGATGGCTTCTCTGAGGGGAAACTAATTTCAAGTGCGCACGTACCCCTAGTAAACGCCTATGCCAAGTAGCACTAGTAAGCACACTGGCCATGCTACTTAGCTATCAAGTGTACTGCTGTAAAAGAGAAGTGTAGGTGTGTGGGGATGTCAAAACTGGAGGAAAAGCAGCTTTAAAAACAACTCTATGATTTTAAGAGTCTACCTCATCAGTAGTATCTCATCAGACTGCTGGTGTATGAGTTGCAGTGACTTCGCACCTTGAAACTGGTTTTGTCCGACTGTGGGAAACAAACATCATCAACACAATCACATTCTAACAAGTATTTAACACTTCAGTGTAAATTTAGGCTCACCTCAAAGTTGTGCGTCACTGTTGATGCATACAAAAACACATCAAAATGTTTTCCTGTTTGTCAGTTTGGCTTTTGACAAGCAATAACAAATCCGCTTTAAGCAGCAGGGTGGGAAAACATAGAAAAACATCTGGGCATGGGCCACAGTTATTGACTTCAAAGCAGACTTTGTTCCAAATCCACTGAAAACATTTCAGAAGTACCTATTTCCTGATCCAATTTCAAGCGCCTTATCAAAAACACTGGTCCGAACACAAGCTCTATTTAAAAAAAATCATTTCAATAATGTTTTAAGAACTCAAGCAAATCATTAGCAATACAATGAATTTTAGCACCAGCCACTTCAATGGGAATTTAAGGAAGTCAAACTTTCCTTTTTCTATCTTTATAAGAAAGCTTCCTTTAAACTCATGTTTCGCCTTATGAGGTCTTTCTCTTTTAAAGTAAGCATCAGGTTTCTTTTTGTCTAAACGTGTTCAGGTCTAACCTCACTTAATTCATTATGGAAACGCCACACAACTCATCTGTGCTCTCCATTTCATTCCTTTACCAACAGGCATGAGTAAGAGCTCATCTTAATTCCTATGGTTCACATAATCTGTAATCCAGCAACTGTACATGCTCAGCACATTAAAAAAAAATGTAAGCAAGCAGATTACTAATGAAAGGCTTTGCTATTTCTGTGCTGTTCTCCATGTTTTGGAAAACTGACCCTTTGCTTCACTCCCCATAACGGTGAAAGTAAAAAAAGAATTAATGGAGCAAGAAGTAATCCACAGTGCCCAGACCACCCAACTAAAAATCAGTTCTAGAGAGGAAAAAAAAAAAAACAAACAGGTCTTTTTAGAAAATTAATCCCTTTTACTGCTGCAGACTTTCCTGCCTTCCTCTCATTATGAGGGCTATTTTCCTTGTGTTTTTGTAGCTTATTTCATGCTGGAAGTCCTAATCTTACTATTGTCAATTACAAAATCTACAGTAGCTACCAATGGTAACACAGGCAGAGCATCTTTAATTACTGAAGATGCAGCTTCATTTCTAGGGCATTTTGTTTTCCAGTTCCAGCAGTTATTTTCCACCATACATATTGGCTCACTGTTTATTTTTAGCTTTAGAACTTCAGAAAAAAACCATTTAGTTTCATTACAGTTTTTGGTGTATGTATTATGGCTATAAATGTTTCCAAGAATTTATGTCAAGATCTCTGCAACATTGTTCTGTAGCCCCATAGCTGCTCATCTCAGAAACAGGCACAAAATTGCACCAGAAGTACTGGGATCAACACCACTTAGTTTTTTCCCCTGTACTTTAGTTGTGTTTAGATATATCTGCAAGCTATTAATCAGCTGCAGAGAAAGTTTCTTGAACCGTATCTCCATGTAAAACCAGACTGAAAAATGTTTATCAGGAGGCTGTATCACAATGGACAGTAACTCACTGCGGTTTATGCTTAAGGCCCTGAGCATCTGTAAATTCAAATCCAGCCCCTCAGTCCATTCTTACCTGTTTGCCACTCTATTTATTCTACATGCCTCAGACCCTACGAGGCCATGTCCCAGACCAGGCAGCACCAGGCAACTGTAACACCAGGCTGTGCTTCCATCAGCACAGGAATGAAACAACAACAGTCCTCAGTTATTATTCAAAATCGCACTTTTCTTTTTCCCCACTGCAATTCATACAGTCATAAAGGTTGGAAAAGACCTCTAAGACCATCTAGTCCAACCACCAGCCCACCTCCACCATGCCTACCAACCACGTCCCTCAGTGCCACATTTATTGAAAAACCCCGGGGATGGTGCCTCCACCACCTTCCTGGGCAGCCTGTTTCTATGCATTATTTCTCCTTCTGAGAAGAATTTTTTCCTAATATCCAACCCGAGAAAGCAAAAAAAAAAATACATTCATAGTGGTGATGCATTTGGCTGGAACTGAGACTCAACATACCTTTTACTAGTCTCAAGTGTCAAACACTTATCTAGGACAGAAGGTAAGAGTGCCAACCACAACAGCACACAACTCACAAATGTTTTAAAAAGTATGTGAAACTGATCGACAGCTTGCTCCCTACAAATTAAACCTCAAACCCAAAAAATGTGCTCTTCACCGATAGCAAAAATTTCTATCCCATAAAATGCTATTCCAGCTCTTCCAAATATCCATTAAGAAAGTACTGCTAGCACTACAGACTCAGGGAATCTCAATAATCTCAGTATACAAACTAAAACAATTTTTTCCTCACTTCTTGCATGCAGTGTTTTAAGAACTAAGTAAGGTAAAGAAAAAACAACCAGTAGCAAAGTTTTTAAAGCAAATCTCCCATATTTATTAAGTATTCTAATGTCTGCTTTAGAATAATAGCTAAGTGTTTTCTTTGAACTTTTTATAGCTCACTTGACAGTGAGGTAAGACAACAGCTTGTACTGCCAGAAGCTCATTAATAAGAAATGATCAGTAAATATGAGATAATTCTTTAGTATGCATTTCCGTAGTTAAAAGACAGCTGAGAAAAAAGCTTAATAGCTCATCCATGATAGTTTTTATGTATTTTAAAATGTCTTCAAAAGGCTTAGCCTCAGACCCACAACAACTCAGAGGGAAAAACAAAAGGCAGAAATCTGCTCTGTTTTGCTGCTACAAGTAAAAAACAATTTACAATTTACGTTCTTTTTTCTAAGCATTACCACATACAAATAATTTAATAATATGACTATGAAATGGAGAAGTAACAAAGGCATGGCAGACAAACGGCTGAATATAGGTTACAGCATAGTTATGCAGCTACCAGAACCACCACAGTTCTTGAAGGATGAGCATAGACGCTTTTCATAAACTCTAGACTAAATCTGAATGAGATCCAGTTATCAGAAGCTAGAGCTAGATAGACTTAGATTGGAAATAAGATCCATTCAATTTTAAAAGTGAAGCAAATACAACAGAAAAAAAAAACAAACACACGCATGTGTCACTGAAAAAAAAAAAAAAACCTCATAGCTTAAAACTTCTGACATCCTACAACACAACTCAAAAGCTTGGTGCAGAGGTCTTTTGTCCATATTTCTAAACAGGGAAATGATTCTGGGATAGCTGGCAGAACAGGCTCAAGGAAGAGCCCCTGTCCTGGCTGTCCCAACAAACCAAGTTTTATCTGGGTCTGGCACGTAAGGATAAAGCAGCCAAAGTCCAGGTATTGCTGGTGGTTAGTCCTGATGGAAGGGGCAGCTGTTATAATGTTTGTTCTTTAAAGTTAACAGTCAAGATTTCCAAACAGAAATGACATTATCCAGTGGATGTCTAGCCCTTCTCCTCTGCAATTCAGTATTGCCTCAAGTTTTAAAAGCTCAACCAGCCTCTCACAAGAGAACAGGTCCCAGTGATCCAAGAGTAATAACTCATACAAAAATACACACAGTTTCATGCTGTCGGTATTTTTCCCCACTCACAAAAAATGATTTTTCTAGAAACCCAGCTCTCTTAGCTACTTTGTCATTTATATTGCCTCTAGTTGTCGAAGTGTTTTGTTTTCATAGACCAGCTAGCAGGATTTGGCAAACCAGTAGCTTGCAAAACACGCTGTGTTAGTGGCACCAATGCAGACAGAAAATAATTCGGGAATGAAACTGCTAGGTCATTCCTGGGAGAACGTGGGTTTTTTTCCTCTGTGATTAAGAGGTCTCCATGCATCCAACACACTACCTATTTGCTTTTATTACAGAGTAGACAACAGATAAGTTCAACCAAAGACGACATAGAGCCATTTCTGTGCATCATTTTGCCTGCCACCATGATGCTCTTCCTGGCATTCCTGCTGCTCTTCCTGTACCGCCGCTGCCAGCGCCCCATCCCACAAGGGCAGATCTTCAGCATTGACCTCCCTGAGGCCCTGCCTGAGCACGACGTGTCCAATTTCTTTTCTGTGCTGCCCTGGAACAGCGAGCAGAGTTTTCATTACTCCACTCTCCTCCCGGATGCCACGTTTCTCTCCATGTGCTTGCCTCCATCCTACGAGGAGGCCACAACAAAGACTGCCCTGGGTGAGGCTCACATTGAGCTCTCTCCAGACCCAGTGCCTCCTTACGAAGAGAGCACACAGCCATCCAGCAGCACCAAATAAGCTTCCTACGGAAGTACCTTAGCTGAAGCATGCTGCCCCTCAAGGCATAAATACAGATCTGCTATGGCCTTTAAAATTAGCACAAATAATCCAAATGAGGCAAAAACCAATGAACTGCGAAGCAGCAAACTTGAAGGAACAAGGAATTAGAATATTCTAGAACAAGGTGAAGAGTATTTTCCACGTGTAGCAAGGCTAAACTTCAGTTCTATACTGGTAATGAGGAAATCTGAGAGAATGGAGTATGTTGTATGAGGATTAGATTTACAGACGGATGAGAATCTGCCCATCTGCAATCCCAAAGAAATGTAACAACACTGATGGCTGGACTTGATGATCTTGAAGATCTTTTCCAGCCTAGATAACTCTATGATAAATTATACTACAGATTTACCAGTTGCAAAAAGGGCTTTTAGCATGAAACTATGCCAGCTTGGCTTTTTCTACTTTACGTGTTTGTTTTTCATTGAGCTCCTAATAAGTTGATTTATTTAGTCAGCATGTCTTAACATCACATCATTCTTCAGTGCTCTGGAACAATCGATCACAGCACTCAGGAATGCAAATAAATTAAACTCTAAGGAAGTCTTCCAATTGTCCCAAGAAGTACAGCCATGCACCTTTCCTGAAGGCTGACTTCCAACACTACTGAACAGTGAGAGCAATCAGAGAAGACCAGATCATTCTGGATGAGGAAGACTCCAGCACCATCACACACAAATACACGTGTTTGCTACAAGACAAGGCCTACAAAATTCCAAAGTTCTAGGCTACTGGCTTGACTTATTTTCCAGTGTACAGATTAGAACAATAAATTCTGTGACCGTGAAATTTAGGTACCTTGTGTTAAAGAATTACAGAAAAAAAAAATTAAATGCACAAAGGAAAAAACCTGGTTGGTATTTCAAAACAGCATTGCAGTCACTTAACTACTAGAGAGAAGTAAATGTTATTTAAATGTGTTGGTGCATGTGGTTCTCAAGAGGGCTTGCAAATCCTTGCTTTTAGAGACACCTTTAGTTTCTTCTTACTGAACAGCACTTTCACCATACTGACAGATGCTCTTGTTGACTGATAAAATTCAGCCTCCATTGTTTCAAATGTAACATATTTTGCCTTAAAATATCTGCTATGTTCTGATATCATTTACACTGTTCTTCAGCAGCTTATCCTTGCCATTCTAGTGCCTGAACGCTATCCTGGGCTCAACGTTCTAAGCTGCTCTCCTGTTATCTTCATTACAAGTCAGGCAAATTCTTGAGTGATATTTCCAGTGGTCAAAAGTGATGTTCTAGAACTAGCCAAGAATTGCTATTCCCTCCAAGAACACTGAGTGATCATCTCCCACATAGTGTTTTTTGGGTAACTCAAATCCTGCATCAGAAAAATTGTTTGCTTGCATTACTATAGAAAAATTAAGAACAGATAATTGCTCGTGTCCAAATTAACAATAACTTATACTCCATTACTTCAGTTCCTTTTTCTAATAGACTACTTTCAATTTCATCTAGAATTAGTGTCTTGTACCTCATTCCAAAACCGTTTTATCTGGTCTTGCACGTTAACTGTCCCTAGAGGGTTTTAACCTACCCAGCATCTCATTCTTAAATCACCGCTGCAAATCAAAGGTCCAGTTGATGAATTACTCTCCATAGCATAGCAACTGCCACTGATCATATCAGCCCATGACATGCCCAGCAGTAACCATAGTGACACTGTCATTGCTACTGCTCGATCATGTCCTCTGTAGAAAACATAGCTCATAGTCCAAAAGGAACTCATGCTCTGCTAATCTCAAAGTGAAAGGCTTACAGCACATCATCTAAAAAAGAGTCATCAGCGTTTCAGCATTGGATGAGATGACTGAGGCATTAAACTTTCAAATACAGAAAAAGTAACTGCAAACAGAACAAAATGATCCTTCGTACTTCATGCCTACAGCAGTTTAGTCTTGTGCCAGAAAGATTAAGCTACAAGAAAAAATTCTAAAAGCAAACTACAGTCTAAAAGAGCAGTGAAGCACTGAGAGCATCATCTCTGGTCATAGTAAAAAGTTGAACAATCATCAGCAGTGAATGATGCTAGTTGGGGTCAGGAATGCTTAGATGTTCTCTGGGCCCTTCCCTGCTCCTACATCATAAGGCTGTGTGAAAAATAAGGTCTGTTCATTGTTTCTAAGTCTTATAAGAAAATAAATGACTCTTTGAACACCAGACACCATGAATTTTCACATACATGCATAGGTCACTGTAAGCCTGTGCTATATAACCGCAAGGTGCACATAATTTTTTTGTTTTGTTTTGTTTAAATCCAATGAAGATTAGAACTTATTAAAATATCAAAACCTGCTAATATACATGCGTGGTCTTCTGAGTTGTGGGCTCACTGGGATATGCAGGGTAACATGGTGTTGTCTTACTAAGAAACTGAAGCAAACAGCCAGCAATGTGATTATGTACATACTAAATATAAACAAGCAGTTGTAAGAAACTGTGGAATAGTAGAGGCACCCTCTTACTAAAAAGACTTTCAAAGGATTAGAGGGCAATCTCTATGCTCGACCTCTCCGTGAGAGCTGTCAGAGTCCCTTAGTGCCCACTGCTTTGTGGGCTGAGATGCACACACACTACGTGCAGATGAAAGCCTTGTGCTCAAAATGCATTTAGAGGAAAAGAGCACCAATAGTTTATACAAAGTCGTTCTATTAAATATGCACTGAAAGAATAAAGCCCACATCTCCTACAATAATATAATGGTTTAATATTAATAGAATATCCTAAGCATGGTAGAAGCTCACAAAAAGTATTCAGTGAAACCAATTCATGGTTACATACAGACCAAGCATCTGGCACCTATTCATTGCTATGCTGAAAACTAGCTTGTGACTAGCTCGTCTATTCTTGCTGGTGGTGAGATGTGCTCTCAAAACAAGACAGTCAATGCTAAATCTTCTGAAATAAACACTTTCCACCCTCAATCTAGAACATAATCATTGCCACTGGTGTGCAAAGGGAGAAGAAGCATTTCAGTGCTTCTATCCCTGAGGAGAGATACTTATTTGTAACAAATATTTTGACTGGTAATTCAGTCCTGGTTTCAATGAAGTGGAAGAAAAAGGAAAAAGACAGACACAACATCAAGTCAGTGTGTTTGTAATAGTTCAACAACACCACAGCGGCCCCGATAATAAAAGCAATGACTTAATCCACAGTGACAAGGATTTTACTTGGGTTCCTAAACCCTCAAAGCATCTGAATAAAGACACACAACGGCACGCTTTTGCCAGTACCAACTCCAGTAGCAATGACTACATATATCCTAGTAGCAGAAGAACTCTTATGAATGTAGTTCATAACCAAATGCATGTTTTTAAGTCAACTGCTAATTAAATTCCTCTAATAGACGTCCAAGCACAGAGAGTGTAAAATGGAGAAATACTATTCCTGCTCCATCTAAGGAACATACAACAGAACATACTTTGCAAAAATAATTAGAGAAAATGCCCATCCAGAAATATACCTCTCACGTACTTGCTTTTCTCTCCCTTATTTCCCATTCTTCACTCCTCTCTCATTTGGCTTATTTCACTTTCATACCAGATACAAAAACAGCAACACAGAAAGGGAAACAAATGCTATGGGCTGACCCAAAGCCACTAGATGTCAGATGTCACGTTCTACTCACAGTCTGGAATTTGAGTTTCTCATCATAAAGAACTTTGCATTAAACCAGTTTTTCCTACAGGCTAAAAAGAAATATTCAAGTTTATTTCTACAAACACACTTCACTACCTGTGGAGGCAACAATATGCCAAATCATTTAAGAGGAGTGTCTAAAAACACAGTACGTGCTTCAGCACTGCAATATTTATCTTTGTCGTTTTCTTCCAGTTTAGAAAACACACAGCTGACAATACCCTCCTAAATCACTGGGGCCTCAAGCTCATTCAGACAGAATATACATTTGTCTTTTAGACATGAAAGTCAACTTGAGGAGAACTACCCTGTGCTGTGTCTTTTCCCCTTAGCAGCCCTGGTGCTGCAGCTTACACCCACCCACAAGGCAGCAAGTCTCTGGGATTTTCTGGTAACGTGAGTATAAACTCCTTTTGTTATAGTGCTTTTATTCTTTGGTTTTAAACCCTGATTTTCATTAAGCCTAGGAATTAATTCCACTTGAAGTCTAATCATCCTTCTTTTCCCAATCTCCTGTTTTCTTTTTAAAGGGGAAAAAAAAAGGAAAAAAAAAAGGAAAAAAAAAAGAAATCCATAGAAAATGGTTTGATATCTCCAAGGAGTACTTGTTTCTAATTTCCCATCATTCCTCTTTAAACAATTAATCATTTCTCTTACTCTTTATCTATGACTGATACTCATGAAGAATTTCAGAGTTGTTACAGTTTGCCTGTGTATTTCATCACATGTTTTTTTTCCTTTTAAGACTTCTGAGATTTATTCTGGGATTCCCTGCTTTGAAAGTTATATATCACCATTTCATTCCTTATCCATACACACATAGCTTGAGGTCTGGTGAAACAAGGTTGTGTATCTACCACATTACAGAAGAATAAGAAAGCTTATGAATGCTCTGATTCTATATCTTTAATTCCAGTTTATGGACTAGAGATACCAGGGGTCTGCACACTTCTTTTAAGCAGCCATAATTGGTGTCTAGGAAAGCTGGTTCACACACGTGCTAAGTAAACACACCAGTACATTAGGACTGCAGAAATATTGACACCCCTAGAGAAAAGGTTACATTAAATTGATTTTTCTTCTCAATATTTATCTAGTGTGTATCATTTTAAGAGTTGCAGTATCCCCAGTGCCCCACCAAACATCACCTAGAATAAAAAAAGTCTTCCAAGCTCTCTCTACTCCCTGCTAGCATAACATATAATGGAATACAGTACCTTTCATTTCAGGTCACAGGTTCCAACGCTATCCAGTCACAGGAAGACAAAATCTTGCTCTGTCCCAAGCCTAGCGTCACTCCGCTGCCTGCTATGGGGAGGACACTGCCAATGAACTCCATGTGATTGCAAAGACTCCAAGACAACAGCTCACAGTTATAAACCTTAGCACCTCTGAGATGCACAAAACAACAGAGAAGTTCCTGCTCACACTAGGTCAGCCCTCATCTTCCCCATGCCAAAATGCATGGAGGTACCTTGGCCACACCTCCTGCATTGTGAAAGGAGAGAGGAAGCTGGAAAAGCTCACAGGCTGCCCCCATCAGTTCTCAGAGCAGGTAAAACAAATCTTCCACCAGCACCTAACGAACTTGCCTAGCCACTCCCAGCACTGCACGTTTGTTTACAGGTATAGAATCAGAGGGAAACTCACCTCAGTATTCTTTGCTTCTTCTGTAAACAAAGTAAATGCTTTCCAGTAAGTCCTGAGGATTTTATGTAAGACTTACTTTTAACATAAGATCTCTATTATTAATTCTCTTCCTAACAGCCAAGACCTAGGCCATTAGAATATATTTTTATTAGAAAAGTAGCAAGTTAACACGCTGATAATGTCTAGATTTGTGTGCTAGTGCTTATGGCATTTATGAACCAGGACTTGAGTGAGCACCTCTTCTTTTTCCTAGAAATTTGACCTGGTGTAAACTAGAGCACAATGGAAGCACTGCTGCTTGATACTGCATTTTATGCTTTGCAGGGCAGACCCAGAAACCAGAAGGCTCCTTTTCAGATCTGTTATTCCTTATCTAGTTTACTATATAAGCTTACTTATACCTTATTTTAAATGCAAAATCTGAAGAGATTTTAGAGACAGGGCCACCCCCTGTACAGGCACAGCACCTGACTCAGGCAATGGCAGCTGAAGGTGATGGCAGCAGGTGGCAATGGTGGCACAGGGCTGGCAGCAGCCATTTTCACCCTCCCTCACACTCGCTGAGTTAATCACATTAATCCGCTTGTGCAGCCTCCACTGGGATCATCCTAGGTTTGTGAGAGGTGGCCAAGAGGCTCTCTGTCCTGGAGCAGTGAGACAACTGCTGAGAACCAAGCAAGCACTGGCACCTTGTGTTCACTGAGACCTGGTCAAATGCCAGGTCTTGTATATCAGTGACACAAGTTCTTCCCCCCTGTTTTAAGCTTAGTTTCTGATCCTCTTCTCCTGCTGCCATCAAGTGTCTGCAGAGCTTGTGCTTACTTTCTCCTACTTTACACCTTTCTCTAGGAGTGTCCATGCTGGTAGCCAACCCTGGGCCACAGATACCCACAGAAGGGACTGGCTGGAGATGTTGTGAGGAAGTACAGGCAGCAAGAAGGGAGCAGGGTACATGCTGATTGTTGGATGTGACTGGTAGCTGTGCCAATGTGATCGCCAGGTGGGAAATAACACAGCTGAGAAATATCACAGGGAGTGGAGTAGGCAGCAGGTGAGCAGAAATGGTGAGGAAGGCAGAAGTTACTTCACAAATACCATGCTACTTTCTAAGAGCTTTTCAAAGCTTGCATCAACAATAACTGTAGATCTTAAGGTTGCACACATGACCTTATCAGAAATTAAAACAACTTTTAAACAATCATTATACAGCCAAAAATGTTCTTGGCTAGTTTCAATTAGATCCTAGTGCTGGTCTTGAGAACCGGTTAGATGCTTCCACCTGGCCTACCTTTTCCAGTCCCACAGGTAGCTGTGCTCTTTTCTCATGCCCAACTGTGAGTAAATTGAACTCTTTCTAGTCTTCAGAGGGGAGATAACAGCTTCAGCTGTTATCAAATAAGCACCTTACAGGGATCAGAACAATCTTTTTGCTAGGTCTTCAGAGTGCTCTGCCCATGGGGAGCTATCCCCATTCCTAACAAGCTTCCCAAAACCTAAACAGTCAGGACCAGTACCAGTCCTTCAGGCATACTCACGCCAGTCCCAATGCTAGGAGTCTTCCACATAACTGAAAAAAAGGTTGTGTTGTTTAGTAAGGAAGGTATCTTCAGGAAATTAGTCTAACGTAATGATTGTTGCATGTGAGATCAGTCCTTCCTTCTCTTACTGGCTTTTACACCCTGTTACAACTCTCCCTGTGAAATCCATATGAATTAGCTAATTAAAAAATAAAAATAAAAAAAATCATTGAAGTAGGAAAGGGGAGGTAGTAGTGACTCCAATAAGGGCAAGACTGTGGTATTAGGCCATCTCTTGAAGGTAGTAAAAAACCTGCAGAGAGGAAAGACTCCATAAATATTGTGAGCATATTACTGTAGCATGCACTGTGTGATACAGCAGAGTATCCAACCAGACACAAAGGTACAGAAAAACAGATATTTGCACTTTGTTGCTCTCAGAATTACGGCAAGACAGTGAACCTATATCAGATTTATTTGCTTTACTGCCCCTTGTAGAATATTAAAAGAGTCAGCAGGAACCTATGAAGATGCCACCAAGATAGAAGCCTACTTGAGCTCCTTACTTTTTAACTGATCTGCTAGAGTTTGTGTGTGCCATCGAGCTGTTTTAACTTCCCTTGTCCTTCCCCCATCAATCCTGGTGTAGTTCTCTCTCTGAGAGAGAGAATGTCCGAAAGGTGGATAGGCCTCACCACAACGCTGAGGTGAGATGTGCAGTCCAGTTGAGCAGCAGGGAGACAGAAGCAGCGCCCGCGATGAAGGGCAGGCAAGAATGAGAAATCAGGTGGCCTTGCCAGGAGTTAAACCTCCTCTCCCTGACCGCAAAGTCCCCTGGGGAATGTAGTTCTTCTTCTCTTCAGGGCAGGTACCCAGGACTTGAGCATTGACAGTTAAAGTCCCAGTGCCCCACATGATGTTATGATGTGGAATACCGAAAGCCAAAAATCACAAAACCATGACAAATACAGAAGTCATTATCCTCCAACCAGTTACGTTAACTAGGTTGATTCTTAGCCAGAAGCACAGAAAGTAATTTTGAGTTTCTTTGTTCCCAAAATCCAGCTTGGCTCTACAAAGTTGAGGCATCACCCAAGTAATTCATCCTGTGAATTCAATGATTAATTTGTTACATTCTCAAAAGTGGTTCTGATGCCTGGGACTTCCAAAAAGAACAGTCTAGATACAAAGTAGTGCTGGTGATTTTTTAATCTTGGAAAAATAACAATTTCTCTTCATGTTCCACAGTCTTCACTTCTGTCTGAACATCTCACCAAAAGCTGCATCAGCAAATGGACTAAAATAATACTATCAAAGTAGGGCTGCTTCTCAGCTGACGCTGCTGCACACCAACACTGACCACATCTGTTGCTTTACGGTCTATCACTAAGTTTAAATGGGCTCAGAAATCCAGTTGCTTGTTCCCAAGGCAATTAGCAGCTGTTTCTAACACTCTTCTTACACTGGGCTGTACAGAAATGGGCACAAAAATCCCTGCCTTCAGGAGATTACAAAACATATTCAACTAGGTTGACAATATTGTCTAAACAAAGTTAGTTAATTTTCCAAGAATATGAGAGCCACACCACTTAAGTACTGCTACAATGGAAGCGTTCTTCTTCAGGTAGCAGATAAGGCATTTTGTTCTCTCATTCATTGCCAGAACTTACCTGATTGTTGTTGGAATTCATATATCTGTGGAAAAGAACATTTGTTTTGTTTTTCCAAATAACTTATTCATGATTTATTGAAGCCATAGTCAACATGCAGAAGCTTCTGCAGCCTGCCTTTCCTCACAGATTTTCACTTTTTTTTCCTCCAGTAGTCAGCATTTCTGTTTTTATACCACCTGGTGCATAAACAGAGCACTGCACTACAGACAGAAGAAAATCCTGTGTGTTGGGACTGGGCTTTCTTTCTTCGGTACACACTCCCACAGTACACGCATATACGCACACATTTGGATTCATCATTAACAGGCAATTTCCTACTCAAAATCAACGGCACTTTCCATTATCATTGTTGGGAGAAGAACTGATTGGCTCTTAAAAGGCTGATGACTCATTATGTGAAATCAACTAACTGCAAAGAGCTACACTGGCAATGCAAAGTGTACTCATTCTGCTGCTGAGACTCTTGTAAGGCACTTATCCTGTCTCTCAGAAAAGCACGTGACATTGCACTTCTTTATTAAGCATCTCTGTAGCTTACTGTCTTCAATGCACATTAATTCCAACTTGGTCTTGAAAGAAGTAGCTTCTGAAATTGATTCAGTGAATAAAGTACAGCAGGGAAAACCAGAAAGATACCATAATGTATGTCTTTGTGAGTACTTACGTCTGCCCTTAAGAGTACTGAAGTTCATTTAAATAAAACAGATCAAATAATTCCTCATTACCACTCCAATTTTTTTAACACTTTATTGTTGGAGAAGTCCATCCTTTTAATCTTCTCTTATAGAAGTAGACAAATACATCATTTTGAACCACTTAATGCACTGTAGCAAATGTTTGGTTGGAGCAGTGCTAAAAATAAATGGCTTTTCTAGAACTCTATGGGATCTGAAGAATACCTGACAAGATATATTAGTTTGCAATACTATGAAGGCATTTATTTCTGTGCACAAATAACCTCCCTTCAGTCCAGGAAGTGACTGACAATGTTTAGCAAGTACTGGAGTACAGTGATTCTGGAGAACTGCAGCCAGTCTGTGGGAACCATGGACATGGGGTGTTGGTAGACATGAATGCATTAGCCTCTCTGATCCCATATTCTTTCCCTCTTGTACATGGAGCCCTCTCAACTGTTGAGCTCGAGCCTGCAGCTGCCTGCCCAGTATTGTCTGATGTTTCCTCACTTCAGCCTATTACTTCTCTAAGCTCACACAGCTTTGCCTTTTCCTTTCCTGAAACGCTTATCCATGTTTGACTGACTTTGCCTTCCATGCCCTTCATACTGTGAATAAAGACTGAAGGCCACGTTTTTTCTTTCCCCTTACTGCAACTATCCAACTGTTAATTTGCCCTTTTATCTCTCCTGCACCACCTGAAACTTCATATCTGCATTAGCCTGTCTGCCTAATATCTCTCCATCACTCCTTGCTTTCACTGCATTTCTCAGAAATCCTTACTTCACCTTTTCTGCCATTATTCTGTGCCTTCTTTCCAACAGCCTTATACATGAACCAGCATCCTGGTTCCTCAAAACCACCTCTTCATCAAATGCACCTCTTTCTGAATTCTTTTCACTGGTTTCCAGTAGCCTTCCAAGCCTCCTCTCACCAAGCTATTGCTTCTCACGCAACCATCCTTCATTTCAATTAATCAATTCCCCTCTCTTCACTGTATATACAGTGAAAACTTGTAAGTACCACACAGCCTTATGGATGTAATACCTCTTAATAATTCAAGGGCTCGAATACTAAGGGGAGTTTGGGCTGCATACATTTGATATGAGTAAGAATGAACTTTGAACATAGTCAAGGGAAGCAAAATATAGGAAAATGGTGAAGTAAACATTCACAATGAAAGGAAGAACATATTAATCTCAGATCCAGCTTCAACAATTCTTGTTTTAGAGGAAATGAGTAAACCAACTGTAAACTATGAACAAGCCCAGTAATAGTATGATTACTCATCAGGATGACACCAGACTTCTTTAGCATGGCAGAAGCTTCCTTATTCTTTCTCCACTCCAAGGGCTCTGGATGTCTTTCCCAAACTCAATTAAGTTTGGTTTCCCAAACTTAATCTATACTTGATGACCTGCAGGATCACCACAATTGCAAATCCTTCCTATACACAGAAACTATAATAGAAGAAATTATCTCTGAAGTTGGATATATGACATAAAATACATTTTCCTTACCACATTTACATACATGCCAGAGTTGCTGCCAGTTCTGTAAGCACAGCTGCTGTGCCCTGGGACTGAGTTCAGCAGCAAGAACTGGAACTGAGAACAACACAGCTGAAAAAATCTGAGCTACCAATTCTGAACTGGTACCTGCTGTTGAAAGTGTTCCATGCACTCTCCTGTGGTCTCTGTTTAATGGGATCACAGCTCTGAGAGAAACACCAAAGGATGTCAGTAGACATCTAGCAGTTGTATCTAATTCAGATTTGCCCAATTAAGTTTTTATTTAGCTCCAAAAACCCAACAGTTCCAATAGCATGTACGAATGGTAGAAAGTTTGCTGTGCACCAGTTAGTCCCACCCTTGCTGTGCAGCCAGATTCACTTTCCACTTCTCTCTCACTCTGCTTATAATCTGGTTCTCCAATAGTTTTAGTTTTCTGGGACAGGTTGCAAGTAAGAAGTAGTAAACACAGTCACAAATGATTCTGGAAAAAGCTTATTATTTCAGGTTTTTTAGTCTCAGCATTGGCATGCCAAAATGGGATGGATATGTCAGTATGCTTTAGTGATGCTTCTAAATGGAATTAGTAACTTTGCAATGAAAACTGTAGATTAGTAGTTGGATGCATGGTCTGTGGCATTCAGCGTGTTGCCATACACCGCTGGACACATCTTTTGAAGGAGATTTTAATCAACTCAAAAGACAATATGGC